GTGCATTTTTGCCTATATATCAATATAAGTCCATATTGTGATCCTATATACCACAGAAAGATATATTTCTGTGATATATACCAATATAAGTGCATATTGTAAGAGTAAGCGTCCTTGAGTAAAAAAAACGTATGCTGATATAAGTGCAATGGCATATTCTGAAAACATTATAGTAGCCGTATAAGTCCAAACAGGATTATAAAATCGCATACCAGGATTATTTTGTTTGTTGGGCATATTCGTGTACACACGACGACCCGAATGAAAATAACTACAGAGAAATAAATCTCACTTTTAAATCAGCCGTCTCGTTAAACGGTCCAATAATTGTCATTGATAATAATTCCAAAATGAAAAGCCGTGGGTTTAGATATATTTTCTATATAATGACATAATAAAACAAAATACAAAACAAAATATCAAAAGTATAAAAAAACTATAAAAAGGTTTTATTGTCGTCGTCGTCGTCGGCAACAGTCATAATAGTTCTACTAGAAAAATAGACATGCAATTGAAGTTCGCCATTCAATTAAAATGTAACTGCTCAATTGAACGGCTGTTTTAACCAGTTGGCTGCGACATCCATATATAGAAGTAAAGCTTTGTTTAGTGCAGGTAATCGCGTAAGATTTATATCAGAGAAGAAACTTTTATCTTTGTATCCATACAAAATATCATATTTTATACTTTTACGTCACGTGTCCACCTTCTGTACCATGTTTGGTAACGATGGATGTCGCCTGTAATTTTCTTGTTGCTCAAGTAACCTTTCATACAAAACTGTTTCCAGAAATATTCCTTTCATTACTCAACTAATTATATTTCCATTAAATAAAATTCTATAATAAGCTACTTATGACTGGTGTTATCGTTCGATATTTAACAAATAATCATGTAACGTTAGCTACTTAGACTATAATGGAATCGTTCAGAGTTCTATTATCAGTAAACATTACAAATCAGTTGCAATTATGTATTGCATTAAGTTATCCGTTTTCATTTGTGAGAAGATAGTGAACGTTTATGCTGTAAACAAAAACAATGATTTGTTGTAAAGGATTGTATTTTATGATCTTTGCCTATCTAGAATTTTGCCTTTATACGATTGTACCGATTGTACCTGTCGGTCAATCAACACGACTGAATAACCTTTTTGTTATTGATGTTCAAATTAAAGTTACTTGTTTGATAAAACGTTTAATTGCAGATTAGCATATTATTACAACGTGTTTCATCCTAGGATGATGTACCTAAAATGTTTGAACATTCTTATTTATTTAAGGTCTTCTTGTCTTTGTTGGACTTCTTTATTTTTACCAAATGTCGTATATCTTATTTGGTCTCGTTCAAATCTTTTATCGATAAATCCACATTCACATTTTGTTTTTGCATGACAAGATGACTTATTTATTTACCTTTACTCTTATCAAATGGCATTTTACAATAACAACCGTTTGTTTTTAATGGAAATGTAGGTAACTTAATGAGATAGGTACCTATAGATTTTACATTATTGTCCATTACTGCATATTTTAAAAATTAATGGGAAATTAGAGCAATGTTTCTTGATATTTATATTTATCTTTCTAAAATGAGACATTGATAACTGTTTTTTTTTTTTTTTTTTTGTGAAATTAAACTATTATTATTTTTAATTGTCTACATGAATTCCACAATGCAGTAGTCTATCTAGCGGCACTATGTAGAACTCGGTTCGCAAACATCCGATATATGATATTTATCAGATATATGTCATGCTTATAAAAAGCTGCGACTTTTGAGGTGCTAGTGGATTTATTGATTATTTAATCTTATAAAATATCTTAGAAAAGTATAAAATACAGATTTATTGATGTATTTAAAATTTGTTTATTTATTATAAAAAAACGAGTATGCGTGCGAAGATTCCCAGTTACGTGTAGGGAAATACCCGACTAATTACTTACTTACTACAACAAACCACAAGCATTAAATTATAAGAAAAAGTAATGCAACTAACCGTCGTGCTAGCATCACATCGGGATATTTAATTTTTCTAGCTGAGACTATACGAAAACTAACAACAAAGATATCAGTTGATAAATGTATATCCGTTGATATTTATCAGCGAACCCTGATCTACAATAATATCTACCAATTTCAAATCTCAGACCGAGTTTAAAAATGAGAATAAAGAGGACCATTGATAGATTGTTAATATAAATAAAACAGTCTCTTCAGTTCTAAAAATAAATGTGTTTGAGCCAATTAAAATGTTTTTGAGCGATATAAGGATTTCGTATTGTTTAAAAGGGATTGATCGATAAGACACGGTGCCATTGACCGCTGGCAGCCGCCTCTCTCAGCTCGGCACAGTCCACGGCTGCGCGTGCGCTGCCAGCGAGCTTCAAGCGACCGTGTCCGTGGCGGGGCGGGCGACCGTCTGCCTGTTTATTTTGGCAACGTTATTGGCGGCCGCTATTGATTGATGCCATCGATCGCTTGCTATCGCTATCATCTCGAGGAACACTCGATGGCATTGCGCGCCTGCTGGAACATATAGTCTTGAGTTTTACGTTGACTCATCGTTATTGCAGTAGGTGTTCAGGGCTCAGGCCTCAGACTCTTAAAGGCCTCGATAAATAACGTCTAATGTGAGTCGGTTAATATCATTTCGAGTTAATGGAAAGTGTTCCATAATAATGAGTTTTCGTCTCGCGCCGGTGCCAGTGCGCATTTATTACCGGTTACGTGTTCCTTTCACTCTTTTGTTGCGTTTTTCGCCGAAGGAACTGCCTGTTGATAGCCGTTGTACCTACCACCCTTCACTGAGTTAACGTCACAACTTTATCAGCTACGGTATTGTATTAAACACTCGTAAATGCTTTCTCTCTTAAATGAAATCAGTGAGCAAAAGCTTTTTATTATGCTTTTGTCTCACCTACTATAGGCGAGTTTACTATTTTACTTGTAACAAAGATTTAATAAAGTATTCATCAGAGTGCTATAAATCATTTGACACATTAATCCAAAATAAGGATTATTAAATGGAAATCTTTTTCTCTCATATATGTATGTATTAGGTAATAGGTAAGCGTCCGATGAGTTTCGAGATTGTAACCTTTCCTAATCGAAAGATCTTAGCGCAACTGTCGAATTGTTGCACGAAAATGGCTCAAGCACTTTTTATTTTTGCCGCTAATGAAGCTAGTGATATTGAACATAAAAATAAAATAAAACTAATACGGCACGAGTTCGAACCTAAACTTTTAAAATAAGAAATATTTATCAAAATGTTATTGAGGGGATTCTGATAACTAACTGTAACTGTTGTCGAATATCTTCTTCTCTTTCTTTCTTTCTAAAGCGCTTGCATTTATAGATATCTGAAGTAACGAGGCTACTCCTAAACTCGAGACCTACTAAATATAATTTTAACTCGACCGGATCTGTCATCTTTAATTGAACCTCGTACGTCCCCAGAGATGGTGAAACCTCGGAAGCACCGTGCGAGCCACTCTGTCCCCTGAAGACCACAGTCGTTAGTCGTATTTTAAAATGATACCAATAAATATTTCAATCCCGATTAATGTAAATTCAGAAATTTAAATAAATATAAAGTGATAGTTTACACAAGTGATCGAATCACGGTATGATAGTCGTGTGTGGTGGGCTGTGTCAGCAGCGCCGGTGCGGTGTGCGGTGTGGTATTGTGGGTCAGATGACGTGTGTGAAAGGTTGTACCGCGTGGCGGGCGTGCGCGGGCGCCGGGCGGGCCGGTGTCGTCCGTCCGTCCGACGCTCGTTCACTCCGCCAACATGGCGCGCCCCAAGCAGTCGTCCCGTCACGCCGCTCAATACGAATCCCTCCCGGACCGCGGACCAGGTATCACTGAACATCACACAGTCTGACCCTTTCTTCCCTCGGGACGTCTGTCAGCGTTGACCCCAGGCGGCCCGGAGTTGTGATTGTGATTAGAGAATTGTGTTTTTAGATAGTCCTACTATCACAGTGCTAACGTGGACAGAAGGACCATATTGAAAGTCAATCGTGAACGTTCAAGCTTTATTGATCGTAGTGAATTGAACTTAAAAATGTTTAATTTTAACTTAAAGTGTAGATTTTGTAATTGATGTAGATAATTATATTTCTAAATAAATCTATGTATCACTGACATATGTGTCTAAGACGTAATTTATCTAAATAATGGTTCAGTTGAAAGCATAATACCTAACTAATCATCCAGTCATGCACGTTTAATTATTATCTGTTTTTTTTTTACATTTGAGTATGTATATGTAGTGGTAGTGTACCGTACGGTGGCATGATGACGTGAGCGTGTATGCAGCATGCATGCACGATAGTTTATCGTTGATCGCATGCGTGATTAGCCGCTAGAGGCATTCCCTTTCTATGGAACCGGTCTCGAGGCGACTGTCCGACGGGACACTCGGTAGTGTCTTCATTCAGATGGACGATTGTTGTTTCACACACAACGTGGTAATGAGACAGATCGAGGTGAAGATATTCCCCTCTCGGATCAATTGCTATATAAAACAATAATCATTAATATGATGTGGTTATCGTCTCCGTTCTGATCATGACTTATTAATTTTATATTTTTGCTGACGAAAGCATTCATAAACAACTTTACAGGATTCCAGTTTTGACGTTTTTTCAAATGAAGTTTAACTTTTAAGTTTGTAGATACACAGTCTATTACTGCATCAGTATTTGCATAAGCATAATATATAGCATTTTGCTTACTCGAAACGAAGAACTAATAGTTACTTTTTAAGTCGTCTACTTTTTCTTTTATTTATGTTCCATTCGCGTTTTGTCCCATCATTTGAAATTCTATATGTATTAAGTATACTGTTTTACGAAGTTTAGAGAGATCATTGGAATTATCATTATAGCACTCCGAGGGCCTCGTCTGTTCAAACTCCGTTGTCTTAGAGCCCTGTAATGTTAATTGAATGTATCTATTGTAACGTCGTGTCGTGTGTGTGTGCTTGCAGTGGAGTCGCTGATCTACTGGCGCAACGCGGCGCGGTCCGGCGCGGCGCTGGGCGCGGGGCTGGCGGTGCTGGTGGCGCTCGCGTGCTGCAGCGTCGTGTCCGTGCTGGCGTACGGGTCGCTGCTCGTGCTCTCCGCCGCCGTCGCCTTCCGCATCTACAAGAATGTGCTGCAGGCCGTGCAGAAGACCAATGACGGACACCCCTTCAAGTATGTTCCTATAACCGTTACACGAATTCATCATAGATATTATTTTAGGAGCCCATACCCGGAAGATACCGCTCTGTCACAAGTCGCAAAATCGCATCCGTATTTCCAAATATACGCGTCCACTGTGTACCTTATATGGTATGTTTCGATAGATATTGTCTGTGATTTAGACATATATATTTTAATACGGAATCTGCTGTCTGATGTTCTGTCTTATCATAGGCATATTTAAAGTGAGAGTTTACTTCATCGCGTAAATTAGAAACGTTAATAAGTTTAATCCCGTTAGGGTGCCCGAACTAGATATTTCCTACGCAATTTCTACAACAATGAAGAGTACCGTTGCTGTTACTGTTTTGGTCATGCTGCATCCTGTCTTTACTAAACATCTAGCTCTCAAAGTCTTCAACATTACAATTAAAAATAACGTATAACATATAAGCAACGTTATAAACTGCAGATGTTAAATAAATCAGTTTTTTAAAAAAGAAGTGTGTGTGTATACTTAATAGATGTCTATCGCGGAAACTGATCTCAGTTTGATTGTATTGTTAATTGTAAAGCTTGTCAGCGGCTGCGAGCTGCGAGCAGGCAGTGTCCTCAGTGTTCGGCGGTTACCGTTACTTGGTGCGTCTGCGGCTTCTATTGTTCTATGTTGCTCGCGTCAACTGTACATTTTATATTAAATATCCTTCCTAGTTGATTTAGATAACGCGTCTATTAGGTATTGTGCGATGAACAAAGAAATAAAAAATACAAACCTGCAATCTTATCTTAATAAAGAAGAATTATGTCCAATTTGAATTATAAAGTAACTAACTACGTATGTATACATGTGGATATATATTTAGGTCCGTGAATTACGCATGAAGGAACCACGTGCGTGTGTGTCGAACAGCTGTCGCACGCGTTTTACACGTTGATATCTTGATTAATTTACGTTTTAAATTTCTTAAATTTAATTAATAAGGTCTTTTTATGGTGTTTAATAATACCGCAAAAAATCACAATGTACACAAATATTACATTGTGTCAATATTACATTAGAACTATCTTTATATAGAGGAGCTTAGCGCGCTCGGTCTGCGATACGGTTGCAACGCAATAGGTCGGTCATAGGAAGAGTGGCCTAAACTTTTTTATTTCGACCTCCTCCGTGCTTCGGAAGGCACGCTGAGCCGTTGGCTCTGACTGCATCTGCAATCGTTAATACCCACCAATCACCAATGGACCCGCGTGGTTGGTCATGGGCCAGTTTTCCTATTTAATCTAATTCAATTCCATCCATAGGGAACGTCTGAGCCGAGAGCAGTGGGTACATGAATAGGATGTAATGATAATCTTAATACAATTAATTTTACAATTTCCGTTATACAAAGTTGAGTCAGAATTATAAATATAATTTCTCTATAAAAAAAACTCATTTGATTGTTGTTTAAAGATGATTCCCCTTTAATTTACAATTTATTTAATTATCATCATGTCAGTTTACAGATCCAAAAGCACAGGCAAGTCATACATAATATGATATAAAACAAACAAAGAAATGTTGATCTCTAATAATAAATAATATTAGATTATCATCCATAACACAAAGTTCATAATTAATTAATAAAAATAAAAAGTATATATATATTAGTAGACGCAAATTGTAATGTCAATAATCACCACCAGCCCTTTTACGTCCCCACTGCAGGGGCTCAGGCCTTCCTTATGGATGGCTAAGGAGGATGGGCCATGACCCTCCACGCTGGCCCAATGCGGATTGGAGGGTATTAACGACTGCAAATGCAGCTGGGACCAACGGCTTAACGTGCCTTCCGAAGCACGGAGTAGCTCGAGATGATAATTTTTTGGTCACCCATCCCGTGACCGACCCTTGCGAAACTTGCTTAACGACAACGATCGCGGACCGCGGCGCTTATCCACTACGCCACCGAGCCAATGTCAATAATAGGAATAATCAATTTTGTAAATAAACTCAATAACAAGTCGTAAAGTACAAAAAGAGTTGTTTAGTGTGTTCAAGGATTATTATCACTCCTACCACTGGTAATAAACAAACGTGTGTCGTATAATCTGTTAAGTAAGTATAGTGTAGTGTAGTGTATTGTTGTGTTGTGCAGATGGCTGTTGGAGAAGGAGGTGAGCGTGCCTGTGGAGCGCGCGCAGTCCCTCGCGGCCGCCGCCACCGCGCACCTCAACGCGGCGCTGCTAGAACTGCGCAGGTAATGTTATAGTTATAATAATAATAATAATAAAACATTTATTTGGCCAGCACACAACACAACCCAGTATAAAACAAACAAGACAATTAACAGTTACTTACACTACATACAAGAATTTAAAGTGTAATGTTGTGGGCCTTCCTAACTCGGGTTTCGCCACAGTCTGTGAAGCCTGACCGATATTTGACCACGACCTTTTTTGCACGTTCTTGTCATACAAGATTCTCTTTTCATCATCAGTTATCAGCTTCTTCCAATATGGTTCGGTTTCATTACGCCGTCAGAAAGAATCACAAATAAGTACACGGTTCATTAGGTAGCTTTCAGTGAGCTCGTGAGGTACCGAAATATCGAACTTGTATGTGTATCCAGTTTTTTTCAAATCGCTTTTTGGTCAATCCCTAGTTCTTCAACTACATCGTAATCGTAATGCCGATCTTGCTCCACTTTTTCAAATACGTATGGCATCCATTCTATCCGTTACAGGGCGACCAGAGTTACGTGCATCTTTGACATCAAAATTTCCGGACTGGAAACGCTTAAACCAAATTTGTGTTACTCTCATAGAAACAGCACTGAAATTTTAAAATACATGTATTTTTTTCATAAGATTCACTCATTTTGACAGTTAGAGAAATGAGAAAAACACATTATCTTAATTTGAATTCGGAGTTATCCTCTTTAAAATTTAAACTTTTTAATGATACCGAAACCAGCCAGACCCAAATGGTATAACCAGAAAGATTTTATTGCAAGTTTACACATAGTATGTGCGAAAAGATTTCTTCCCCAACCTAATACACACGAGTACGAACAGATAACACCGGGTATCGTTTATTATTTCAGCATTTAACGTTGTCTAAATTGAAGCGTTTTGAAGATGAGGATTGTGAAGAGTGAAAAAATGTTGAACGATTAAAAAGTATTGGCTAAAATATTTTGTTAAAGCTCAATAGCGCAGCTCAACGTAAGCACATGGTTTGAAGAATCTTACATAAATATCATATTTGTAAGACTTTCTTATATCCATTAACTGTAAACGGCAAGCTAAGGTGAAATACTATACCGACATATGCCACCTATAATAATATACTTACCTAACTTCATTTAAAAAAATCTATTCAGGTTACTTTTCCTAGGCATTTGAATGTTGTTATCGTTAATTACAGCGTATGTTGGTCTTCGCAAGTGGCTAAAATCAGGCTTAGGTACCTAATATGAAGGTAATAAGTTAACATTAAATTGATTCCTTAAAAACAAAAAATCTTGATTGAATAATTTTTGTTTTTAAGGTTCCGCACTTCAGAAGATAAAAATTATAAGACCATTTCGCGTGGAGATATAGAGTTGAAACTAAAACCACATACTTTGATTGGATTGATTGAAATTGATAGGATTCTCGTTGACCTAGAGTTAAGAAAGGATAATGGGCAATTTACTATGAGAGATCAATAGAAACCAAGAGAAACCGATAGTAAACGATATAGAATTATATCTAGAATGAGTAGGAAAAAACCATTTTAAAATTGTGCCGGAGTTTGAGTATATCTGAATATTTAACAGAGATTTTGAGGTTATGTTGTTATAATATTTACATATATAAGAGCAATAAAATGAATAATGTATTTCAAACAATCGATGACCAACGGATATAAATATTTAATTGCGAAAAAGGACATATCTATACCTGTATTATAAAAAGGAAATATTGGACTCAAAAACAACTGGGCCGATTAAAAACTACTCTTTGACTAATATAATACCTGACCAACATTATCCGAGTTAAAATACTTAATATTGTAAAAGTAGTGGTAGGAAGTTCACATGTCAAGTCGATTAATAACTTGAAATTTAGTAGGTTATCGTAGTTATATTGAAGTAGGTATATACTATTAGGTATATACTCGCCGCTAAAGAAAATATTATAAGGGATGTCACTAGCAATCTTAATTTATGATATTTAGGCATTTATCTAATGGAATCTTGTTATATGTATGTATAAGACGCCACCCGGCCGATTGCATTAATTTGCCTCCTATCATTTACTATGAAATAGCGTACATACCTTTGTTCATGCTCAAAAGAAAACCGAAAGAAGATCAGACTAAGAAGAAGATACCACGTGAAGGAAATCTTATCTTAGATAGTAATTAAACAATCGATTTTTTCGATACGTAGATTATTTTAGATCGTAGATTATTACTATTATTGCATGGTTGATATTTATCCAAGGTCATATAATGAGTCTAAATTAGTCAGTTTAGCAACTGTTTCAATACGGTTAATTTTAAACGTCACATAAATTTATAACAGCATTCATATATTTAGAATAAATTATAATTAAAGAGACGATTTTTGATAAATAAATGCATAGTTCGCAATTTTAATCGACTTTTGCCTATTCTCCTTTGGAAAGTAACATATTTTTTTTGTTAAACTTCAAGGAAAAATCTGAAAACTATACATTTGTAATTAAATCATCAAGCATATCATAAAAAAGGGGCTTCAAAAATTAAAGTTGAAGCTACTAGTTGATAGGACAGAGGACGATTACATATCTATATTTTAACGACGCAGAAATTCTTTTTAGTTATTAAAATATGAAATGTGTGCAGTAGCTCTGCGCGCGAGTCTGACACGCTCTTACTTGGTCTTTTCTGTTTTTGTTTTTGTACAACTTTCCAAATACAATTTTCTTTGTCTTTGCTTTATACAAACTTTGACCTGTTAACCAAATTGGTTTAAATGTTTGAAAGTGATAAAATTCACCAACAGAGTGTGTTTTATATAGAATGAAGCTCACTCTCGTACGCCTAATCTAAATGCAGCTCCATCTTTTCTAAGATTTTCTTTTCGCCGGTGATTTGTTTCATTAAAAATCTATAATTAGTCGTTGTGGCATATAAGAATGCGGACGTAACACATTCCAATATATCTAGGAGTTGAAATGATCACAATATAATGTTAATACCGGCCAGGCCGCAGCGCGTCTATTTCTATAATATCTAAGAGCAGTTACAAAATCCATTCATAAAATAATGTAGGAATTATATTTTAATGGTTTCTGATTATCAGAATGTTTATTTATTTAATCGTGCATATTACTCTGAAGTCAATCACGGATCGATATAAAACGCTGACGTTGGGGAAATTGACGGATACTTGGGGGAATAACTATGCTTACGATATTAGCACTCGAGTCAAATGTTAACATGTCACGTGCTATGCGATGTTGTGTTGTTGGATATTAGAGCCCTCGTTACTGCGGGTTACTGGGGGCATTCACGTAATCCCTGCGCGATCTGACGCGTTACTAATCATTATAAATGACATTGAATCGAATTCGATGCTGGACTATTCTGCTATATGTCACATCAGACCCATCAAGGGATAAAAATTAATAAATTATAGGTGGTTACACATTTAATGAAACGGTACCTAAACGTAATTAATGCGTAATTTATAACGTTAGTTTCGTTACACATAGCTCTGTTCACGTCATTCCAATGTGATTTAGTTTGAGTAAAAAAGACAAAACACTACACAAGAGCTTAAAAGTAAGCCGCTGTTTTACGTTTAACTAAACTCTGACCTCCTGCTTATGGTCGCGTGCCTCTCCTTGATAATGGTTGACGTGCGAGTATCGGATCGTAACTCGGTGTTATTAATAAATAGATTTCAAATAATGGAAATGGACATGTTACATCCGCTTGTGGGCACTAGGTGTAATGTATGTGCGGTGTGTTTCCAGACTGTTCCTGGTGGAGGACCTGGTGGACTCGCTCAAGTTCGGCGTGCTGCTGTGGTGCCTCACGTACGTCGGCGCCTGCTTCAACGGCATCACGCTCATCATACTCGGTCAGTACCTCATCATACACGCCACACCACATCACACAAAGCTGCCAGCCTTGATACTTTACCTTATAACAAATTAAATTTATTACCCTACGTTACTCATTCGACTAGGGTCTTCATTGATTGTAGTCAATCGCCGGTTCTTCTTCTTAGATTTTTATACTCGTACGCAATAGAAAGACAATAAATAGCGAGGATCACATACTTACACTGTCAGGGAATTAACTTAATATTATATGTAGTAATAGTCAGCTAATGTGTTATAAAAAAAGTCACAATTCTGTTGTAAAATTCAATGTTCAATGTTAATAAAAGATAATTTCATTGTACGTAATGATTACTTAGTATGTAGATAACGATGCTTATTCGGCAATGAAGTTTGTTTACTTGTTTTAAAATGCAAGTTGTGTTGTGTCACGTCTAAAAATATCTGTCGTGATACACGAAGTATGAACTAAATATTGTTATTATGAGTAGGTGAGAAGTTCGTTTGTAGGTGTGTTATTATTCAAATATTTCCAATTGTATGCAATCAATTTGAAGATGATGTCAGAAATCACAATAAAGTGGCTATACTGCCTGTGCCGCCATGGGATACGCCGGCAACATATAATTAGAAGTATTTATTTGATGTTTTTATTTTTAAAATTCGGGTAAACTGCCGGAGTAAGAAAACGTTCTCTGGAAATTGTTTCGTTTGATCCAATAAAAGATCGTATGCAACGTAAATAGTTGACCTTTCTCGTGAGGCGCGAGGGTCGCGTATTAAAGGACTTCGTTTAATTTAGGACGTCACCTACAGTATTGATTTTAATCCGCTTCCTCGAAGCGGTAAGTTTGTTTCAGATGCTAATATTGACTTCGTATAAGTTTAAGCAACATTCGTTTTTGTATTTGTCTTTTTAGGGTTCCGTGCCTAAAAACGGGTAAAACGTGAAACCTATTATTAAGACATCGCCGTCTGTCCCTAGGCTATATCTCATGGTCTTTCTGTTGCCGCTTCAACAACGAACATTTAGTAAAACTATAATAAAATAAACATAGAGCATGTGTCGTGCGGCGGTTGCAGGTTGGGTGGCGCTGTTCACTTTGCCGAAGGCGTACGAGATGAACAAGCCGCAGGTGGACGCCAACCTCGAGCTCGCGCGCGCCAAGATCAACGACATTACCAACAAGTCAGTACAGTGCCCGCACTAGTACCACTACACTACACTACACTGCACTACACTACACTACACTACACTACACTGCACTACACTACACTACACTACACTATACTGCGCTATACAAACGTGACATCTGATCATTCCTATAATTTTGTTAGAATCATATCGGTGAAAGTTATCTGTGCACGAGAGGCGGCCTCAGTCCCCGCCTCCGGTGCATCATAACTTATTGAAAAATGCCTTTCTTAAGAGTCTGCTAATACTATATCTATTTTTGGAAATTGATGGTATATCGTTTACGGGAAAAAAGAATATGCCTCTAGTTGTCAACTCATATTATACTATACGCGCTACAAACATGAGCGTTACACGTGCGCCGTCGCCTCACCACTGGTTACTTTAATATAATTTCTCATTTGCGGATGCACCGAAACTTAACTAAGATTTAAAGTACATCGGTGTAATACAGTCGACTTACGATACTTACAAAGATACGATGGCGCTTGCTGACTGCAGCGTTTTGGCCACAGTTATTAATTTTTGCTTAGCAAAATTAGCTTATATTTAATTTGTCTCCATATATCTGTACCTGAAAAGCATTAGGTCGGATGTCGGGAATCTTAGGCATAACTGTATAAAAACAGAAATAGCTAAATGCAATCAAAATATTTGAAAAAGTCGTCTGATCCGACTTTATGCATGACTGTTGCTCATGAGTAAAAAGGCACAAACATACAAGAGTTAATTTGCCGGAAAGAGAAAAAAGAGTGTAGCAACGTTATGGCGATAAGTGATTTTAGCTGGTTCTGCACATCCGACCTAATGCTTTTCAGGTCCAGATATAAATAAAAAGGAAAGCACTAAAAAAGCACCTCCACTAGATGGCGACTCTAGTAAAAGATGATTTTGCAGGAAACGAATGGACTAAAGACATTCATTTCCGTTCCTTTTAACTATCATATTAAAAAACTGAAATTTGCAAAGATCGAAACTTAGACATCAATATAAATACGAAAAAGTACAAATAGTACATGAGTTGTTTACTGAGTTTTGAAAACTAATTTACTTTTAAACATGAAAGAAAACCGGAAGGGTTGTCATGGAGAAATCAAGAACGTACCGTAGCGACATCTAGTTTGATTTTGGGAACTAACTCATTGTTAGGTTACCTGGAAAAAAGCTCTTGTAGAGTTTCCGTTAGTAAATGTTGCTCCCTTTGTGTTTCCAGAGTGCGGGCGGCGGTCCCGCTGGGGCGGCGCGCGGAGGACAAGGACAAGTAGAGCGCGCGCGCTCGCTCTCACACATGACGTCACGCGTCGCGTCACACTCGACCTGGACGAGTCTCGCGGAGATCATTGTATTTGCTTTTTGAATTTTGAAATGAAGACCCGCGCGTGTGTGTGTGAGGTGTCGCCGCACGCGACGGCGCGGACTCTAACATGTGTGCGGGTCGACGAGACCACGTCCGTTTACGAACTGTATTCATTATTATCACACGCATTTTGCATAATGCTACGTTTTATTTGTAAATACGAATCTGTTTCATACTGAAAGCATTCCGCGCCGGACACGGCTCACGGTGTATTTTCAGTATGAAATTTTTTTATGTTTCGCGTCTTTAGGATATCGAATTCGAATGTCTATTTATTATTGGAATATATTATTGATGAGAAAATAAATGCTTTCAGTGCCTGTTCCTCGAATATAGTTTTTTTTGTATAGTTTAAAGTTGTCGTTATGTATTTGTATTAAATTTATCGCGCTCATGTTTGCTTCGAAATTGATAGCTCTTTAAGATGCTTTTGGATTATCCAACAAAATTTAAATGTAACGTCGACAGGGGGGGGGGACGCGTCTGTCCCCGTAGTTATATTATATTCCTGACGATGGCGGTGGGTTTCACGTTTCAAAAATTGAACTCGGACCGACGTATTGATGGACCTTTTCTATGTGAGTTATTGTAGCAATCGATGTAAGTAATATCTTGGTATTCAGCAAAAACAGATGTGCATAGAACTTGACAGTTTGTAAAAAGCGTATTATTATTATTGAAATAAAGATTTTTTCTTAAAAAACAGTTTTTTTTTCTACATTGTAGATAACCAAAAGCATAAAAAATCAAGAGAAGGGAATTGTGTAGTAAATTTGTAAAAATAATGATATCAACCTTTAAAATATTTTGTATATTTGCACAGAGGCAACTCCCTGCGTAAAGGTAACCAAGCCACAGAATATCCTATTAATATTATAAAGGCGAAAGTTTGTAAGTATGGATGTATGGATGTTTGTTACTCTTTCACGAAAAAACTACTGGACGGATTTGGATAAAACTTTACAGCAATATCCTATTAATATTATAAAGGCGAAAGTTTGTAAGTATGGATGTATGGATGTTTGTTACTCTTTCACGAAAAAACTACTGGACGGATTTGGATAAAACTTTACAGCAATATAGGTTATACATCAGAATAACACATAGGGTACTTTTTACTGGGAAAACTTCTCACTCCCACGGGATACCGACTTCCACGCGGACGAAGTCGCGGGCGTCCACTAGTAGGTTATACATCAGAATAACACATAGGGTACTTTTTACTGGGAAAACTTCTCACTCCCACGGGATACCGACTTCCACGCGGACGAAGTCGCGGGCGTCCACTAGTACCTTTATAACGGAAGAAAATGTACATACAAAGTGCGCTCGAGAAACGCACACATAGACAACGTTCTTCTTCTTTTTTAATTCATGGCCTATTTGCATTTACACAATTCCGCGAATGTCATGTTTGTGGTCTTTACACGTATAGAAACAATAATAAAATATGTAAAATTTTGAATTTAAATAAAATAAAAAAAAATAGCTCTGAGCGCGTCTATCTGATTACATTGTTAAAGATAATACAAATAGAATGTATATAGAAAACAAAGATATTTATAAATTAAGACTATTATTGATTGCAAAGAATTAAGATAAAATTTTGAATGGCCTGGGATTCTCCATACTCAAGATACATTTTATATTTGTTGGACGTGGAACTTTTGATGGTAGCAAAACGGACACGATTACCAAGATTGACAACTCAGCATAGTTGTCAATTTTGGTAACCTTAATGACACAAGATTCACATTGATGATTTACATGGATAGTAGATTCAAATATTGTAGAAAGTCTCAGCGCAGTCAGAGTAAATATTTTAAAAGGGACATTTTTAATAAAATTACACATTATTTTTGTCTTTTTAATTCATTTGTAACATTCAACAATATATAATATTCTAACCGGTAACAAACAAATAATCGATCCGGAGATGCCAGCGAGTAACGTTATAAAGTAATACTTTATAATGATCGCACATCGCATACTGATTTGATCATAGAAAATAAATAATTAAATAAAAATATGCAAGCTAGGTTCAACCGTACACTTGAAAAACAATTTAAGTAGGTATTTGTGCTACGAATACTAGTTAATATAGAAAATTAAAGTAACTAAATAAAGAACAATGGTCAAAATGGACTACGAAAAAAAAAGTTCTTGTACCAAGATGGAACTATCACCAAAACGTAGTATAAGTTGAATGTAATTATTATGTACCAACAATTTATTTTTAAAAGCTGGGAATAGAAAGATAATCCTCTCTAAAATATGTTTTTATTTTTTAGAACGCAGTTTAAATTATGTTATTTTTGAACGCATCTTATTAATAATGTCATTCCTAGAGAAGTCCCTCTCTTTTCAAAGAACAAGATCGATTTTATTTCTGACTAATCGAATTTGATACAAATCTTATATTATTTAAGAACCATATAAATCTGTGAAAATTATAAAACTTAGATTAGATTACTATTATAATTAGATGTTACTTAGAGGAAAATAGTTTATTTATAATGAAATTAAAAACAAATGATTATTCATAAGAATCAATATACAGTATTCAATCGATTACGACCTCCCTTTTTTAGACAAGTATGTTTACACATGTTTCTACGCAGACCGTTTTGTAACTTTGGCGGTGATTTTGTATTATCTTCTGTATTATGGGGAGCATATTAGGTTCCATGGGCAGTGTAGAATTGAGGTCTGGAGAGGAATACCGGATTTTCTGGATTTATTAGAATTAGACTTAAATATAAATAAAGTCCTAATTATAAGGGGTAGAATTAAGTCGAGACATTGGGAGGAAACAACATTATGTGTACATTTTAAAGAATAATAACACATCCGGGTTAGATGGCATAAGAGAACACTGCTGTAATTGTCTTATTGGTCGATGTACACTGGGGTGCTGTGCTCATATAATGACCATAATTTGGTATCTTGGATGCTACTCCTGCAGCATTTCGTGATGAGGTATTCATTAGAGTTGTAATAAAGAAAAGAAAAATCAACATATTGTTTTGCTATATCCTTTTGAAATTAGAATTTTCACTACTACTTTATATAAGTTATAGTGTAACATAGAAAAGTAAAGTTATTGAGAGCAATCTTATAAATTCTAGTATTTTTTTTATGTTCATTGGTTCACAAAAAAGGTATTTATTTCTTACAGTCAATAAAAATAATTTATCAGATATGGAGCAAGTTTGAAGTATTATGTGAAAGTATGCACTTCTAGGACTACGATTAGGCGTTATCTGACGTGTGCTTTACATATTTCAACTGTAATACCTCTAACTCAAAATGCAACAGTTTAAATAATACGACATAACCTCAAAAACATATTACACAATTACTCGATACTCCCAGCTTTTAAAAATATATTTAACGTCTTTCTTTGTTCTAGTTGCATAGGCAAACAAAATTACATATGTTAGATCAAGTAACGTTTTATTCGATTGTACTAGTCCAAGCATGTTAGGCAGATGGCCATTGTTCTTTGTACCACTAGTGAACGTATTGAGTTAGACCCAGCTTATATCTTATGATGCAGCTAGTGGTGGTAGGTATAAACAAAACATATCACAGCGCAGTCAACAGGTATGCATGAGTAAGGTGGAAGTCACGGTTTCATTTCTTTTTCTATCGATAGATGGCACGAGTGTCTGATTTTTTTGAACAATGAAAATGTCCATATTGTTTTAATATGATATGTTTTTATGAGATCTATGGATTTGGATAATGAGCTATTTCACTGTTAAATAAAACTTTAAAATTAAACACTAATGCCATCTCTTGGCAGTTAAATGTAATTAATAGTGACGTTTCACTTGAGAATAACGCGTACAATATTATCACCCTCGGTGTAATAAGCATCTCGTGCAAAGTACACACATTATCACATTACACAAACCAACACTGCAGCTTTGGGCCACGTTTATAATTTACAAATCGTAACAATATATCGTATCTGCCCTGCGATTCCATAAAAATCTAGACCCGAATTCAAATTCACTCATGTGGCCGAAGTCACGTCGTTTACTGTAGGAATTATATTGATTCCATTTTTTATATAAAGATACAAAAAAAATATCGATTGAATATACCTGTCTCAGATATTCTATTCCTATGTCATTTCGAAACTCACTTCACTTATGCCATGAATCGTTATTACTAATACAAGATTGAGCAGATGCCGTTCTTTAAAATGAATTCTTGGATTTTTACAGAGTCACAGAGCTGAGATTATAATTTATATATTTATCTAATACAGTACACACTACACTGTATCATAACCAGATGTAGTCTCGATATTCCACTGTATAGATCACTGGGTTGCAATGAACAGATACACGACTAAAATTATAATACCTTTAATTTATTTTATGCACTTCAGTTTGAGAACTCACTGAGCTATTTACTGGTGAAGTGCGGTACGTAGTTTCATATCCTACGCGAGTTGCGATCAGAGTTCGTGAAGTTGCAAAACTGGCTCCGGGAGTTCTCAGACTAAATGAATGTACATATATTTTTTTAAAGTGAAAAACAAATTTTGTTCTATTTTAAATTAGAATTGCTCGTCATTGGTTTTAGCGAACTATATCTTTCCCGAATGATATATATTTTAAATGGCGCTAGATAAAAGTATTAGTTGCAATAAAATGGTCCCTCACGCAATGTCATGTTTTTTCTTATAAACGAGATTTATCAATACTTTTAAATACATTTTTTTTTCAGTGTCTATAATAAAATATGAAGATTAATGGGGACCAAGTGTGGCTATTGGAATCTAAACCTCATCGATAGCTTAATTTTATGAAATTTAATCACCGGTCACGCTAGTTAGTTACCGCGGACGACACCGCGGTAACTAACTAGCGTGGCTCACGTCAACATGGGTAATTCATAGCGACGGTTACAGGTGACTGTAAACGTCACCGGAAATAATATCGAATAGATAAATAAGTACAAGTTAAGTAGCTCGATGGCGTAGTGGTTAAGCGCCGCGGTCCGCGATCGTTGTTTAAGCAACCTTCGCAAGGGTCGGCAACGGGATGGGCGACCATAAATTATCTCGAGCTACTCCGTGCTTCGGAAGGCACGTTTCCCGCTGCGTCTGCAGTCGTTGATACCCTCCGATTCGCATCGGGTCCGCGTCGAGGGTCACCGCACACCGTCCTTAACCATCCACAAGGAAAGCCCGAGCCTCTACAGGGGGGACGTAACATGGCTGATGATATAAATAAGTACATTTAACTTCCGAAACTGGCGTTTCGCGCTCTGCCACCTGTACGGGTCATATTTTGTACGCGGCGCGAACTTTTATTTATAATAATAATAATAAAGCATTTCTTTTGCCAACACACAACACAACCCAGTATTAAACAAACGAGACAATTAGCAGTACATACAAGAATTTAAAGTGTAGGTAGCTATGTTGTGTGCTGTCAAAACTGACCCCAGCTCAGATTTCGTATACAACGTGGCAGAGGACAGACCGTCGCCGGCGCATAAATGGTTTATCACATTTTACATATTCAATTCTACAAATAAATTTATATAGAACGACTACCGATCGATCACTCGTCCGGTGCGCGGAGAACGGCCGATCACATCAGCGGTCGTTCGGTATAGAATTATAGTTCTCGATTAGGGTGAAGCGAGAATACTCGCTCGTCGATAATATTCTTTTGGTGTAAACGTTTATAACGTTCGTTCGTCTGGTTTAAATGCACCTTTAGATAACTGCGGTCGCGGGGCCGGGCGGGAGCTCAGTGCAAGGAGGGCTGCGGGCACACGTCGGGCTGCGCGAACAGCGCGCTGTAGTTCACGAGCAGGAACAGCGCCAGCGAGCCCAGCGCCGAGCCCGCCTGCGTGGCGCCGCCCGCGGCCCGCATGCCGCGCGCCCCGCCCCCCCGCGCCCGCGCGTACCCCCACATGCGCGCGTACGACAGCGCGCCCGTCGCCGCCACCCACGCCGTCACCTGCCGCGCGGTACACCGCGTTCAAATACGATATCACTCGTTCGGTCTAGGCGGTTCGTAAACTACCGAAGGAGACCTTGTCCTGAGAAGGACCGGCGAGAAACTCTATCTTTCTCCCTGTGTTATTCGATTATTTATTGAAATTAAATGAAAATGTCTTTATTCAAGTTAGCTCACTTCGAACACTTGAATAGTCCAAAATAAATTTTCCCCTCCCGCTTGTATAGGACGTCTCTTAGCTGACAAGAAGAACGAGCGAAAGAAACTTACCAGCTCTCTATCATAAGTAATGAATGACGTTTACATAAATCATGTCGTTATCGAAATAGTACGTATTATAACAATATTAAATACAACTTTCAAAGCCTGCAGGACATAGGTTGGTACGTATAATTAGTCTTTATAGAACAAAGCGACGGCTATTAATTCCATGCATTGCGATCCTTAAAATAATCATCAACTTTATAATAGCCTTTCCTCCTAAGTTTCTTCTTTACATAAATTTTAAATTTATTTATGGCTAGATCGATTACATTTTGTGGCTCTTTATTGAACATAGCAATGCATTTACCCAGAAATGATCCTCTGGTTTTCTGAAGTCTAAAGCTGGGAACGGCAAGTTTATTTAATTTCTTGTGTTAAGATTATGAACACTACTTTTTTTGTAAAGGAATCATGATGTTTTCTTGCGTACACAATATTTTCATATAATTAATATTGATATGCAAGTTAATTATTATGTTAATAATTTGGAGTTAATTTGGGATAATTTGGGTATGCAAGTTAATTATTTGAATAAAAATATTGCTGGTTTGAGTTTTATGAATCGTATGCTTCTTATTGCATTATAATTATATATTAATTTGCAAAACCAGATTTTTGTACCGATTTCAATGCAGACGTTTATAAATGTTCTCATTAATTTTTATTACATTAGAGATAAACTGTCTGTGGATACGTATTACAAAAAGGAGATAGGAATCGTTATCTATCATCGCAAGGTCGTCGAAGGAGTTCGACGATTTTCTTTTTTTAAATCTTAATTTATAGACGTCCTCCGTTACGATTATGGTCCGTTTTACCTACGTATACTTGAAGGGAATGTGTTCTTACCACCAAAAATTCTCCTCCGACGGTGCCGACCAGCGGCGGCGCGGGACTGAGCAGCGCGGTGGCCACGATGTACCCGAGCGGCAGCAGCGTCGCCGCCAGCAGCGCCGCCAGCGCCCGCACCGGTACCGGCCGCAGCCACACGCCCGCCAGGCACGCCAGCGGGTTGGCGATCGTGGCCAGCGTCACCGCCAGGTGGTACACGCGCGTGCCGTACGGCATGCACGAGTACGACTGCAGCGACGGCATCACGCCGTTCATCAGCGCGTTCAGGAACACCATCAGCACGAGCAGCGCCACCCACCGCGGCTGCAGCAGCGACTCCCGCGGAGGCTCGGGCTCCTCGGTCTTGTCCACGACCGCGGGCGTCACGCGCTCGGAGCGGAACGCCTCGCACCGGTCCACGGCGGTGAAGCAGGCCAAGCTCAGCGCCGCGAGGCAGCTCAGGACCACTATGAACACGGTCGAGTCGAACAGGGCCGGCGGGTACACCGGCACCAGGGACGCCCCGTCCTCGGCCGGCACGCACTCCGGCTCGCCGCCGATGCCCTGCACGAGCGCGAGGATGCTCGGGATCAAGCCGCTGAGGCCCTCGCCGACCAGATACGTCGCAAGATACACCTCCCGGTAGTACCTCAGGTACGGGTAGAACAACACCGAACTGGTGCAACCGACGAGACCCGCGAAGAAGGTCAGCGCGAGGAAGGGGACCGACCGCTCGGTGTCGCCCAGGAACACGGTCATCGGGTGTAGAAACGCGTTGAGGAGGAGCGCGAGCGCGCCGATGACGAGCAGGACGTAGATGTAGAATGTGTCGGAGAGGCGGGCCACGAACCGGCGGAGCGCGGCGTACAGCAGCGGGCCGGAGTTGGCGAGCTGGACGGCGAGCGTCATGCTGGCGGGCAGCGCCCAGCCCTCGGGCAGCCGCTCCACCAGCAGCGGCAGCTGCACGTACAGACCGTTAACGCCGAGCCACGTGCCCAGCCCCCACCCCATCATGGCCAGGTCGAGCGCCACGCGTCGCTGCACACCCCACATTTTCGTCTTCGTATCGGTCACCCCCAGACACGGCGAATTCTCTTCGTTCGACCTGGACGGTGTACGACGATCCGGTTATTTAATATTATTTATGTTCTACGTTGAGCCGACAGTGTCGTGTAGGCGCGGCGTTCGTAGTGTAAATGAGCTGCGGTTAGGTTAATTACATCATATATTATGAAAGGTAGATGATATCTGTCGTTAAGACGCGATCTATCTAATCGGCGTCGTTGGGTAAACTGCTCGTGAAAAAAAATTAATCCTTAATTCAAATTTTCCTCGTTTTGCACTAACGACGACACGTCAGGTAGAAGGAAAGGCTTGCCCGATCGATTTTAGGTCTTGATCTATCCGACGTTTAGTTTATAATGGATTGCGGAAATTTGAACTTTTGAAGTAACCTGATGTGCTGTCGACTGTACATATAAGGAAAATGTGAATTATAAGTATTTAAATATTTTCATGATCAGTTTAATGAGATAGATTAGATATAGTTATTCAGTTTTAACGACACTTATCACCTATTTACCGACACCTCAACGCATGTACATATAACTGGGAGCGTCCCACCATCACGCACTCGTTTCTTTATTTTTATTTAAGACTCGCTTGTCCCCTTCACCATCCCGTACGTCCCGATGTGTGAGTGAGTGAGGTTTTAAACATTATAAATGCGAAAGTAACCGCGTCTATACAGTTGTACAGGCAACCGGTTATTTTATATTCGCTAAATATTGCATGTGCGATGAATTTATTTTGATCATGTGAAAAACATTTTCGTAAGATTTAAGTAAATTATATTTTTAAATTTTACTATTAATGTTTATTATTATGATGCAATGTTTATGGAACAGCAAACCCACCAAATGTACTAGTATATTCACCACGTGAAAGTGATAAAGGCTTTTGGGTTCAGTTCCCTGAAAATCGTTATCGCGAGCATACATTCAGAAATCGTACACCGTTAGACATTTTATCCTTATGTATAGTGTATAATTAAAAAGTGGGACCCTTTAGGACCATAACGTGCAGAGAGATCATAGGTACTTTAGAGATTCTTAGAATCGTAAATAGGGCGCTCTCCTTCACAGTCGTAACCAAACATTACCGATTGATCGGTTCTTTCTTTGTTACGCTAAACGAAATTATGTGAATATAAATCTGCCCCTCTTACAATCATTAACATTCGTCGGTCAGATGGAGGGAACCGTCGTCCAACATTATACCATGTACCCCACCCAACAGCCACGATATCTTCGGCTGATATGAAGAGCGAGTGTAAGAAACTTATCAGTTGTCAACTGTAGCAAGGACGTTGACACAAACCCAACAGGACAAATATCAAGTGATATCTACCATCGATGTGGTAACTTGTTGCGTTTTGTAACTTTTGTATTGTAATGATAATTTTTTTGTATATTCTATGAGGTCACGGTTGTGTTTGTGTTGTTAGCTATCGCGTGTCAATACAGCTGTACTGTACGTATAATACTTCACGAAATTCTGTTATCTTTGGTTGAAAATGGATCACTTGATCCGGAATTACGTTTGCTTTTCCTTATTCTTTTTTTAGCATACATTTCAATCGTACTGGAAAGAACATGTTACAATATGTGAATGCATAGCGCATTTTAGAATAAAAAAAAACTGGTTTTTTATCATAATATAATAAGTGCTTGAAAACTGGCGTCGCGTGCGACATTTATGAATTATTTTCCCTGGTTTGAATTCGTTAATTTTAAGTTATTAAATAATGATTAGAGTAAACTTATATACTTATACTTACTTATAGTAAACTTATTATTTTTATTTTGAGAATTTCGAATTATTTTATAATGATACAAATTGCATGTGTATGAAATATAATTATACTAGCTTTTGCCCGCGACTTCGTCCGCGTGATATAGTTACTTTGGGCAACATACATATATTTTCCAAAAACGTTGTTGTTTTTCGAGCTGATGATAACCTTGATGTTTAAGTTCGAAGATAGTACAACAAAAAAACAGCACTTTATCTTTGAAACTTTAGATATATTAATCCAAGTCAATGCAATTTGAAATACAGATGAAAAAAAAACAGTTCTGAAGTTTACAAAAATCTTAATCGAAAACGCAATCTACGCAAAATTCTTTGAAAGAAATGTTACCGCAGATTACTTTAAAATAAACGCGATCTAGAACACAGCGCCATCTATTGGGTGTATTTGCAACCTAGATGTCAAACTATATTGAAGAATTTTATCTATGAATCACGGTACACCGCCATCTATGAGAACTTCATAAAACTAAACAGTAAATAAACACTTGCTTAAGAAACAATTAATTAGTACATTTTATTCGTTTACATTCGCGACATAAGCGAATAATTGAGATGATAACTATCCTATCCAGTAAGTTAGACCAAAATACTGGTACATGTGAAATTTTATTGAAATCGGTTTAGTAGTTTTGGAGTTTATTGGCAACATACATCGTGACCTAATTTATATATATATAGATTATGTAAGCTGTAACAATTAATTGATAGTATTGTAAAATTCTGACATGCCAAATGTGACATACATGTCATAACATGGCCAATTTATAATAAATAAATAAGTAAACGAAAAGAACAGCACATTTTTATCGGCTTATAACATGTATCACAATAGGTTAGTTTCGGTAGTGAAAAATAAGTCACGAAATTGCACAAAAAACTAAAATTTAAATCATAATAAACATAGAGATTCTGATTTTGAGTCTTAAAATCGTATGGTCATAATATTATCTCAAAATTAAGTCGTGATTTTTTTATCAGTGGGGATGAGTGATACGAGTACTTACTCGATACCAAGTGTTTTGTTATCGATACTTTAGAACCGAGTAACGAGTAGAATCGTGAAGTATTTGTATCGGTACATGGCCCATCACTTACTGAGGGGAGTCCAAAAACTTGCTTGCATAAGACGTTTACTCTGTGGTAAGATGTCTATAGTCTGTCTCGTGAAAAAGTCCAAAAAGTGCGGCGTCCCCATCGTATAACGATAAATTGCTAAACTCTACTAATTTTATGTAGTTAAGAAATCTATCTACGGAGGGCACTGCCAACGAAATTATGAATAACTAAATACATCACTTTTTATGCCTGGAGCTGTTGTGTTAAAGAGAGTATTGCTATTGACTAATCAATAGTTTCAAATCTGCTCTAAATATCTATAAAAATTACATTATGGTGGGGCATATTAAAACCATTCGATACAAGTAGGTAAAGATACTTTGATACGATACCGAGTAGGTATCCTTGTGACCGATACGGTATCGAAAACCAATACCATCTAACGGTTGATTCAAATATTAAGATACAAATAAGTTGAGAACAACGCCATCTAGGAATTTGATTTATAATTAATAGGCAAGTCACGTGACACACTGATATGTCACATGATTTGAAACACGTCCCGCCATTGTGTAACGTCACTATGTCACAAATTTAATATTTGCATGCTATCTTTGTATGGCTAAATAGGTTTTAAGTTCTAATTTTATTTTAATTAATTCCTATCAAATTGTACCCTATTTAAAGGCAAATAAATATCTATTCTATTCTATTCTGTAGCGACTGCTGTCAGATTAGTCATAGAGATATAGGTATCTATTAATTATAAATAAAATTACTAGATAGCGTTGGTTTTAGCTTATTTGTATCTTTATATTTCGTAATCGATCGTTAGATGGTGTTGTTCTTTTTTTATTGACATCTTTTAGTCTTTACTCTATGCATCTGTTTTTTGTACATATCACAATGACGTCGTGGACATGACGGACAGCGTTTTCGCGGGTATAAAAAAGTTTAAATTCTGATTTAATTTTAAGGCAAGAATATGTGTTTAAATATTTATGCCACACAGAAATGTTATGTAAAAAAGTGAAAAATAAAAGAAAGAAATTTACGAAATCTGTTTCATTAGTTAGACACTTATTTTAATGTTTCCTCCCTTTAATTGTTTGAAATGATATGAATTTCCTGTAATTACAAACAAAGTTGAACTTCCTAAACACTGTAGCTACATATTTTGTGTGTAGAATGAAGTAATGTGCAATGTGCATTGAATAAACATAACATAAAGTGCAAATGTTGATAAACAGGTGCCAACCTAATAGACCTACCTGCTAGGGAGCGGCGCGAGCGCAAGTTAATCCAAAGCGTAGATAACATGTGTGTCCCTACACTGTCCCTTTGCTATCAGTATACTACATGTGATATTGCTGCCTATATTACTGACTTTATGTTCAGGAACAACTACTAGAGGAAGCAGAGCGTACACTTTTTATGTAAAAAAAAAACTGAAATTGAAATGTAGGTAGTTTGTCATTCGATAAAAATATATTTGCAACCTACATAAATATTATAGAATGTAAAACAGTGTAAAAACTGTACTGACACAATATTGAGCAAATAAATGTTTGATTTGATTTAATTTGAGAAGGATATTCCAAACATAAAGTTCAGAAATAATTTTCTTGAATTGTATCCCAAGAGAAATCATACAATCCTTTTATTACTATGTAAGTTGTCAGTAAAAAGTATTCATTAATGTTACCACAGTACAGTGAGTTAACATGTGCTATCATCTTATGATAACTCAATAACTTAAATCTTGTAATATTTTCAGAAAAGCAACATCGTTACATTGTCTAGAAAATTATTAGTTAAGGTTAAATACAGTACATGCTGATATCATATTCAAGTATTGCAAACAGTATCACGTATCAGTCATTTTGTTAATTTAGGTGCATACCTACTTGGATTGGTTGTCTATAATTGGTTTTACGGTATTGAATGTAGAAAGTCATATTAATAAAATTTAATTTGATTAAATTAAAGCATGCTTTTGGAATTTGTTCAAAATATAAAGTAGAGTAAAAAATATTATGTTGTCATCAATTATGAATTAAATTGGGGCCAATAGTAAGCCAATTAAATGAAGACAGACAGTAGGTATTATACAAAAACACCATTCCTAATAATGATCAATCAAACAAAGCGGTCACTAGCAGTTATTTACATAAGCACCTTTTGCAAAGTATTACAATTAATTGTTCTACATACAGTGCGAGGGTGCTGGCCAGTGATTGCAGGAGGCAAAGGTCATCTATCACCTGAAACCGCAACAAAATGCTTGCACTATCTTCGTGGACTTACATCGCGCGGCGTTCATATGTTGACGTAACCAGTCGCAATACTAACTAATACTGACTGATGTAAGGTACGCTCACTGCAGAAACGAGATATGCTAAATGTAAATACTAACCTTGCCATATCCGCCATGCCGTCCGCACCACGAATTGACTTTTTTATTATTTTTGGCTAATTATAAGATAAATAAACATAGCTCTATTTATAAAAATGGATTTTTATACACATAAGTTAGTTGTAGACGTAACTTTAATATTTACTAATTTATTCGATGTAAATTTTAACATTTTATATGATTCTTAATAATTCATTTGCTTTTTCTAAAAAGTGATGAAGAAACACGTGAATATTACACTTTAGTTTCGATTTTTATTCCGTCATCAGTCTTACACACGTTGACAATGACAGTTATCAGCTGATGAGTATTCCTATTTACGTAAAGGTGTATTCGGCTTCGTATCTTCTTACTTTCATAGTACAAAAAATATCTGTCTTTTGTCTTTATTTATAGCTCAGTTTACAAAAAGAGGTAAGTCTCGAAACGAGAGATAATAAGCTGTAACTCGTAATATAAGTTCAATTTGACATTCTGAATGTTGTTTCAAAACAGTCTCTGTCGTGTCTCTTGAGCTATTCAAAGTCAAAATATATTTTTTTCGCAATTATAACGATTTTTTTAAACCAAAGACCATTTATGAAGAAATTATAGAGTACCTAATTCATTTTCGACAAATATTGTTTTTTTTGTGCGCTCAACTATTTGTGAGATTGAAAGTAACATAATGGTTCGGTGAAGAATGCTTTGTAAAATGTTTTTGAAATGAAAGTTAAACGAATTATACAAAATTATAAAGATACCCTGGATTTAATGCTGATGTTTTATAGGTATTAATTGAATGGGCATTGCGCACTCTTCGCTCTTATTAAAAACGGTTATGTACACGCCAAAATATTAAGAACAAAATTTGTCGCAAAATAATGAACTCAGTACAGTTATACGTTTAAACCGAGCCTTGAATTAACTTACATCACACTAATGGGCTTTAGTTAAGGCATAAGGCAACTTTTAGAACGCCAAAATGAAACGGTACTTATTCAAGTTTTCAGTTTATAAAGTATATCTAATTCCGACATGTAGGTAATCCTAATTTGACTAAGATAACTTTTCTTGTTCTGTGAAGTTACCTCACTTTAATTAGTATTAGAACGGAGTCTGAGAAGTGCCATTAAATCGATTTAACGAATATGATTTAAAGCTATTTATAGAAAAACAAAGAGAATATGATTTATAGCTAGTAGGTAGGGGAGATGAGCCTAAATCGGGTAACCTGCCTTAAACGGGTAGGCTTGACGGTAGGTATGCTATAAGTGTTAGCGAGAATGTGTGAGTGCAGTGCGGCGTCCCGACCGCCCCGCCATCTCAGGCAGTCGGGCCGCAACCGTGAAGCGAACACTTTCAAGGTAAGACGAAAACAAAGTTTTTTACTATTTTTATTAAAAAAAAAACGACTTATGCTAGTGTTATTTACTCGAATATAGTGCAAATAATGTTCTTCTTAGTTTTACATAATCATTTACAAGTAATGTGCTTGTTATTTGTGAATACCTAGTCGTCGCCAGTGTTTACAATTTTTAGGTTACGGTAGTTGAAATTTACAACGTGTTTTGGGCAAAACGGGTAGGGGCATAACGAGTGACTACCCGATTTGCCCTGGAATAGACTAGGACAAGAATATAATTCTAGTGTTGTAATTTAGTTGAATAAAATGTCGTTTTATTTACTTATTTTTTTTTATTATTATTTATAGATGGTCAATAAGTATAAAAGAAAAACTTCAAATGCGTCCTGGGATGAAGCAGTTATGAAGTGTGCTATGGAAGAAGCTGGCAAAGGTTCTGTCAACGCTGCAGCCAAGAAGTACGGCATAAATCTGTCAACGTTACAGCGGCATATTAAAAAAGGTAGCTCAGAAAAGAAACTTGGAAGGTACACAACTGTCTTTACGACAAGTCAAGAAAATGAACTTCTTGATTATGTTTTTCATATGGATTGTTTATTTTTTGTACTTACTAAAAAAGAATTTTTAGAGCTTGTGTTCCAGTATGCTCAGATTAATAACATATGACCCCACTGAACATCAGGCCACTACCTCAAATTATCCCACAAAAAACTACTCGAAGACGTAAGCCACAGAAAGCTGAAATACTTACAAGCACACCGATAAAAGATCAACAACGAGAAAAAGAGAATAAGAAAAAAGTTTCAAAAACTAAAATTGACGTTATAAATAAAATTTTAAAAACAAAACCCAAACCAAACGTGGTCGAAAAGGTAAAAATGAGGAAACTGAATATTCATGCTTGGTTTGTTCTGAGTTATATGTACACCCACCTATCGAAGACTGGATCAGATGTGATGACTGCCAAATGTGGACTCACAAAGCGTGCACTGGATATTCTGGTAGAGGCTCTTATGACTGTGATGCTTGTCAAGAATAACTTTAGTTTGTTTATTAATGATAGAAATGTAATTTTAAATGCAGGATTTAAATAAATAAAAAAATAATGTGATTGTTATGGAGACTGATTAAGGATAAAAAAAGTCATTATGTTATAATTAAAGGTTAAGATGTTAAAAATTATAGTTTAGTTGATTTATTTCGTAGATTTATTCATTACCCGTTTTGCCCAAAGACGGTACCCGTTTTAGGCCCCCCCTACGGGCAAAGCGGGTAGTTCGAAGGTTTTTTTTCTCTTTATTTTTCTTTGAGCACATAAGAAGAGTACTATGATTGTGTTTTGTTTTTAAAAGTTTAATAAATAAACATTCCTATGAGTACAAATATAAGTTGCAGTTACTTTTCTTGATTGTTTTATTGAACATCTCCCTTAGCTTACCCGTTTTGGGCTCATCTCCCCTACGTATGTACTACTAAAGCTTGAAGTTATGCAAATGATCTCGATTACCGTAGTTAACAGACGCACAGATTATGATTGCCGTGCAAATAGAGCTGCCGTTTGGTAGCCGCTATTATCAGTGATATTGTTGATTCTGGAATTTCTTTTCGGGGTCTCATACTAGGAACAATACATTTCTCGGTTCCGTCCCTATTTTATGTGGAATAAAAGAACTCTCATAAAATAACTCGCGTGTCTGTCTCTCCGTCCGACCAGCAGAGCGACCGTCTAACTTCTCTAGCTGTAACTGTAGCCATAGGATACGACATGTTAGCGATATTATCGCTCTAATTCATTTCATTTTACTACTTTGATGAATATGGATTTGACAGCGTTTCCTACGTAGTCATTTATACAATCCAAATTTATCTACCAAAAGACATGTCAAAGTATTAAAATGAAATTGTTTTTTTTTTATGGGATAGGGGGCAGACGAAGAGACGGATCACCTGATGGTAAGTGATTATCGTCGCCCGTGGACACCTGCAACACCAAAGGGTCTACAAGCGCGCTGCCGGCTTGTAGCCCCTCTGGTGTTGCTAGTGTTAAATAATTACTAAACGGATTATTGGAAATCAATAAGAAACGCCGGACTCCAAGAAATGTGGGTAATCAAGTCTTATTAGAGGTATAGATAAATGCTTATAGGCATACGAAACGTACTGATATAATTCATGAACAAACTGAGGATATCAGACGAGCCTTTCATTGTATTAATGTTCACATCACATATCCCACGCCAGGGAATGATACGATGGATTTTACCAACTTTATAGTGATTTTTTTTCTATCAAAGAAGGTTAACCTTCTTACTGCTTTTCTTTGTTGGGATCCTGGTATGTAACCGAACGTAATAATATTTTCAGTACAGTCTTATTTTCTTAATCAATGAAATATAGAAAAAGGCTTATATATTACTTACAATTTGATTAAAACACTAATCACAATTAGTACACATCAATTATTTTAGATCCGTATTAGGTATTACTATTGTGTTCAAAATAATATGTTTCCTTAAAAAATATTTTCACGGCAGAACAGTATCTACTATTTTGCAATAAAATCAGCCTCGAACGCGAGTCGAGCATAGCGCTGTCACAACGTAGAGGTTATACCAAATAAAATCTACTTCAAAAGGTAAAGATTTTTTCATTGAACCTCTGTAGTGTGATTATAGTAGTAATCCTGTACTGTGACAGCGCTATGATCGACGTCGGCTTCCAAGCTGATTTTATTAAAGTATAGTGTAGGTAGCAGACCTTAGGCCTGTGTATGGTACGTACCGATAATTCGAATTAATGTAGCTATGCCAGCATCACCGAACCCAAAAAAATAAAGTTTTAACCGGAATTTATGGACAATTTTAATTTTAGGAGATATCTGTAAAACGAGTTTAGAGATCGTGCGCTCTGATTATCATTATTTGCCTATCAATGTTCCCTCTGTAAGGGCACAAGAGTCGAATAGACCATAAACCATGAAAGAATGGACTATAACCCATCACACGGGCCCTGTGAGGATTGGTGCGTGCTAAGGACTGCAGACACGGGGACACTCGAGCTATTACATTTTGGTCATGTGTCATATGACTTGCCCTCGCGGAAGTTGTTCCTCCGAATCGCAAACGAACGTATACTCGAGTGTATCCTCAGGAGTTATTATTGATGGTGGAAAATTCTAACAACATGAAAAGGTGTCGCAGACTTGTCTATATGCTCAATTTTCAACTTATAAAACTGTCGGTTTGTATTATATTATCCGATGAGAACCGGCAACTAGCATCTAGCACTTAGATTTATTTATCTAATTATATAAAAAACAAAATCCACAGTTAGTTCTTATCATAATAATAGCAGAAAATTTTTAACATATCTTAATGGCAATTACCGATTTAAAAGGAAAATATTATCTTAAATGTTTGCAAGATGAGATAATGGAACTGTATAAAGCAACGGAGGGACGTGACATGCGATTGCGTGTGCTAAATCAGCACTCCCCTCCTCTGACACCATATGAGGTGTACCGAGAGGGCGTCGTCCTGGATGTCGGATGTCCGTGGGCTACAATAATCCTCCACCAGGTGAAACTGATGCTTTAATGGAATTATGTAATTTATATCGTGAAGATAATTTCTAATCACCGATACTGTGATTAGGCCTATTTCAATAGAGTTTTTGCCTGCCAAATTCAATTACCAAGAAGGCGAAGCCAAAAACGAATTCTCCTAATTGTGAAATCTGTCAAAAGGTAGAAGATGTCCAACATTTGTTGGCTGAATGTATTAAGAATGAAGCAGAGAGGAATAATTTACTTTTTAATTTTAAGTACAATAAAAATGACATAGGTGTTTTTCAAAGTATCCTAGCATATCCATTGTCGGATAAAGCTAGAATGTTATTCGACATGGTATACAAAGTTATGTTTCCATTCATATAGATCATACATTTGTTATATAGTTAAGATTGGGCTGACATGAACACTAAGTTCAAAAGCCCATAAAAAAATAAGAATAAAAAAAAAGAAGGCGAAGCCGCGGTTATAGCTCCAGCTAGTGTGTAAATAAATAGTGGTAATAATACAAAGGAAAATGTTAAAGTTGAAATAATAATAATCGTACCTAGGAAAGTGAACCACATGATTGTATTCAAGACATTGTACCCAACCTATAAAATTAAAACATACATCTATCAAAGTTACACACGACGCATCATTACAGGCTTACTGTTTGTTGTGGGAAACTTTTTGACTGGATAATAATGTTTTTTTTTTTATGTTGGAATGACTGTTGTTGCCTTGAGTTAATAAATAAATAAAAACATATAACATATTTTAGGTAGAGTAATATTTAAGATTGAAAATTCAGTATAACTGGTGAGCAAAACAGCTCTTGTAGAAAAGAATATTGTTTCTGCTCTTTCAATACGAGATCTCAATAATCTTTTATATATCATAAGTATCACATTTCAGTCATCAGAAAGTCGTTCCTTCAACTACCGCTACACTTGGCTAATGCTTCATAACTCCAGTTTCGACCCCACTGCGACAGAGAAACTGTTGGTTAACATCAGTATTCTACCAGACGCCGACGTGACTTGGCTGGCTGACGACACACTGGTGAACCTATACAAAGTTAAGGAGCACCAGCCCCTTACAGCCACCAAACTGATTGCCAACATGAGCGCGACCGAACAAGAACTTGAACTCTTATGGGGATTTCTTCCGACTGTTGTAACTCGAAGAAAGAATCTACAGAATATTTATTTGACAGCGACTACTGTTGTAGGTAAAGTCACTTTGTCGAATAAATAAAAAACAAAATGTTGTTAAAACATATTGATACGGTTCCAGATCACGCAGCCACAACATTTTAAGAGCTGGACTGACTTGACGACGCGTCACATAGAACCATTCCCGAAAGTGACCTATCCGATAATGATATTGTGTGCAGAGGACTTAAACTTTCGGTTCGTATAGAATTTTAATAAAAAAAAAATGCAAAACTTACTCAATTATATAGATTTTAGTTATTAGAAAGAGGATTGTATTTAAAAGAACACCGACTTAACCAACATAATTAATAATAATAATAATAATTTATCCTGTAACAAACTTTCGTTCTAATGTAAATAACCATGATAGCATAAAATAACAAATAATTATTATTACATGCATGCATGCAGTATGTGCAGCAAAAACCACTTAATTTACATTCTAGTGTGCACTAAGCATCTCTTGGTGCATCTTCAAACAAAAACTTTTTTTTACGATAATTACGTGGAGAAACGTATAGATATGTAACATACACACATACATAATATACATCTACAAAGTGTAGCACACGTATTTAGAAGCGCATATAGACTAACATATATGAATATTGCGACATATTCCAATGAAATACATACATACAAGTCAAATTGATAACCTAATTTTTTTAAGTCGGATAATGACGTACATAGACAGTTGTATCGACAGCCTCTTTTTTTAAGTTGGTTAAAGAGAAGATCATTAATTTTAATTTCTTTAGCTTTATCTTGTGTAGCGAAACCTAAGTTGAAAGCTAAGAATTAAACAAAAAAAAAATCATTACAATCCGACGTCTAGTTTGCGAGATATCCGTGGACAAACATACATACATCTATAAAAATTTACACACGTGTTTAGAAGTTCATACATACCAACATACTCATATGAATATTACGCCATTCCAACGAAATAACGTACAAACACCTCAAATTGACAACTCCTTTTTTTAGAAGCTGATTAAAAAAAAACCTGATTACCAGGAATCACCTTAGAAATTACAAGTATTTTAATGACGGCAGACTGTGAGTAAAGTTTTATTGCAGGTATAATCTCCAGCAGGTGGATTTGTATGGAAGTGAGCATAACGGGGCATTCGATGGAGCGGCGGGGCTGCTGCAGAGGGGTGAGGTTGAAATGGGCTTCTCCTCCTTATTCATGCGCGCTGACCGTTTCAATGTGTTGCACTTCGTTGCCGAGACACTAGAGCTCAGGTTATTCCACACAATCTTGACTAACAATATTCTGATCTTTTTAATAAAGCAGTATACTGTTCTTGTTACAAGAGCCCACACATTATTATGTTGTACAGCTTCAAATAATTTAGTGGATGAACAGGGCATCGTTCATATTCCGACAACCACCGCAGTCGTCGGGAAACAACGTATTCCTACTACCATTCAGTCGCGGTGTGTGGGCGTGCAGTGCGGCGGTGTTTCTGATGGTGGCCGGCTCGCTGGCAGCCCTCAGCTTCCGGCTAATACGAGCGGACCCAACACTAGCGCAGCTTACACCTGCAGAAGTCTGCACCTTCACCGTAGGAACCATATGCCAGCAAGGTTTCAGTACAATACTAGTTAATACCTAATGAAATGCCAAACGCTTATTATTTTACTGGCTAACATCAAATCGTTGTTTAAAAAATGCAACTGTCATCATCCGCCAAACCCTATTTATCAAATTTAAAGTAGTTACAGCATCGACCGGAAACTACCCATATATTAATTATGTTCTTACCAGGCTCATACCTGAATCCGAGCACGGTGTCAGTGAGGATTGTGATGTTGTTCACATTGTTCGCGGCATTTTTTATTTTTACATCGTACTCTGCGAAGATCGTCGCCATCCTGCAGACTCCTAGCGACGCGATCCAGACCATAGACGACCTAGCGCGCTCACCGTTCACTCTCGGTGTTGAGAACACCACCTACAAGCATATCTACTTTTCGGTTTGTTTCGTTTTTATACTGCTTTAAGAACGTATTGCGGAGTATATCATAATTTCTTTCTTCAGATATTCGCAGTCACAGGTAATAAGAGCATTTATTGAAATATGTAGAAAGACAACTCATATATTGGACATCACGATAACAAACTATCGACCAAAGTTATCATTGTGAAAGAATTTATTTTCAGTCAATAGATAAAATAAATGAGAATTTTCGATGAGTAGGTATAATAATAAATTGATTCGAATTCAGTCTAAAAAAAATTATTGTTCGTTTGTGTAAATATTGTTTACTTTAAAGGCGATACCATACATTTTTTGTTGCATTGACCAACTTCCGGTACTTTCTTGACACTGATGTCTTGGAATAAAGTTATTAATATAATAGTTATCTCGCGGGAAGGTTTTGGATTGCCATCTTTCATTCATTTCATTTTAATTTTAAATGTTAAAATATATTTATTCACTTGTCATTGGCAGAATTGTGCGAAATGCGTAGATAAGTCATTAATTAAAAGAAGAAGAAGAATATAATAGTTATCGAATTTCAGCTTCGAAGTTCGTTTGTTATTATACGAGTATAATAAGAAAATTTTCAATCAGGCAGCTGCTCGCTTTCAAACGGGGGAGATAAAATAATAAACGAATTTGATTAATTTATGTACTGGTATGCTACTCGGTACCGCAGGAGAGCAATGACCCGGCGACACAGCGTCTGTATCGGCACAAGTTGTTGCCTCTCGGCGATCGTGCCTACCTCAGTGTGGTCGATGGCGTCAATCGTCTGCGGACTGACATGTTTGCGTTTCAGGTAATCTTTGAAACAGTATTTTAGCAACAACTAATTTTCCACCATGACACGTTTTCGCGGTCATAACAAAAAATAATTGGTTATTCTGAATAACGATTCTAAAAAGTTCGTTTGATTTCAAATACTAATGTAGAAAAAAGCAAGAAGCTCTTCAGTATACGCTCTTTGGACTCACTATTCTTGTTGGCGTGCAGGCTGAGGAGACCTCCGCCCACGACATTATCAGTAAGACCTTCACGGAACGTGAGAAGTGCGGTCTGAAGCACATCCAGGCGTTCAAACTGCCCATGGTCAGCGTGCCCGTGCGCAGGCTGTCCGGTTACAGAGAGCTGCTGGCAGCAAGGTTGATGGAACACTCTTTTTAACGACATATAAATTCATCGACATATTTTCATTTATGATTCAAAAGAGCACACGTGAAATTACCCAAACCGAATTTTGGATATTGTTAGAAAAACACCGGAATAAGCTAAGGCTTTTAGCACGAGTGAGTTTTCTTGTTGAATTCTTACCTAAAAACTTGTGGTAGGGGATAGAAGTCGGATTAAAAGATATGTATAATTCTATCATATTACTCCTAAATTATAGAATGTTGATTTCCAAATCGGTGACGACAATCACGTTAATTATATGTATCGATGGTGTGATCGATATAAGAATGTAATATTGATGCTGAGGAGTGCGTAGGTTGCGCTGGCAGCGGGAGGTGGGCCTGATGGATCGGTGGCGGCGCGTGTGGCTCGTGGAGCGGGCGCGGTGTCTCGCCAGCAACGACTCCGGCTTCGTGAACGTGAGGCTCGCGGACGTGTGGCCAGCGGTGCAGGTATATCTACATGAAACCTTGTAGCAAGATAACACACACTCACACACATACCTACTTAAATATTATATTGAATGATAGACTACACAATAACACCAAAATATATATAGTTTTGGATAGATACACTGCAGATCATATATCTATATCTACTGTTGGTTTAACCATTAGGTGCTGATGAGCGGCATGATCCTGGCGACATTGTTGCTCATCGCTGAACTCACCTTGAGCAGAGCCGAACACAAAGTAAAATGAACTACACTTATTTATTATTATTTTACACTGAAAAATATTCTTAATGAAAAATGCTTAAATATCTTCATTGTCCCTGGCACCCTGAGATGGGACTCAAACCCTTTCGCAATCCGGGCGACTGTTCTAACCACTGTGATATCCAGAACCTAATAGGACTGATGAATTTTTCCAGCACTTGTTACTTTTTTGTTACATTTAAATGGATTTATTAAGCATTTTTTATTAATAATATATTTAGTATAGTATATGTGCACGTGCATGCCAAATTGATCAAATATAAAATTAGAAAAAATTCTCTTCTTTATTGAAAGTTTAAATATTTGTAATAATATTTCTTTCGGCTGTTTGGGTGGATTGCCCAAACATTGTTTAGAAATACACTCTGTAATCAAGTGCTTGATCGTCAGTCCTGTTTAAAGTCGTCCTTTACTTTCCGAATCTGTGCCTTGAGCTTTATTTGTCGGTTTAGAAGCGTGGCTTATTATATTTGTTACATTTGCGATGCCCCAAACGCGAGGAAATCCGGCACTGTCTCGGGCGACTCTGACCGGATGAATGTTACCAGCAGGGGCAATCGAAAGTTCGTGGATTCGAGTGTCTGATGCATTTTTTTATTGGAATTAATATTAATGTAACATAGTCGATGACAAATTTACTAAAACTGATACACCAATGAACTTTATTTTTGTGTTTTTTTGTTCAACAAATAAACACAAAAATACCTCAAACATACCAAATAATAGGAAATATTAGTGTGTTATAGAGTTGGTCATTTATCCATGAAATTTCAAATCAAATCTTTTTTTCTTATAATGATGAAGGTATTTAATATATATTTACTTAATTTTTCAGATAAAATACTCGAAGCGCGCACCAAACGTGAAGAATAAAATTAAATAATCCTTAGTGATCACAATTTATTACTAATATATTTAACATAATTAATATTTACAAATAATTAATTTTACATTACTTACTCGAGTAAAGTGCCTGTTGCAATTCACAAGACATAGTTTTCTATTAAACACTCGTAATAAAAAAAAAATGTGCTTTCATTAATACTACTCTTAATTTTTAATTATTAGTGACAAATTGAAAATACGGCTTATTTCTTCTAGATTGTTTACATTTCAAGAGACGTATACGGTAAGTAAAAGCGAAACAATTGGGAAGACTTGCCAGGAAAGTCGGACTTGTTACAAAACTATACTATACAGTTTGAAAGTAGGTACGGTGGTTGGACAGCAGAAAAAAAAGTGTAAATGTCTAGAATAAATCTGATAAATAAAAAAATGTATGAATTTAAATATAATTCCACCCTTGCGTTCATTCGAGATTATAATTAAAAAACCTTCTTTTGACGGAGATCGTCTCAGGGCCTTCGCCTGGAGATGTTTCGAGACCAGCAGTTTATTTCTCTTAGGTACTAGTTAAATAACGTCTCGAGGCCTGACTAGTATACAAGCTCGCGGATACCACTCCTGACAGAGGGAATGTAGAGGGTCTTTAGTGGGATACGTATTTAGTGTATCGGGAATATATCTAAGCACACAGAGAATGCTACAATGTGGTATTCAGAGATCTACACTTCCATGCTTAGGCTAGTGTCGGGTGTGCGGAGGGGCATGAGGTGTCTACATGTAGATGCAGATGCAGATGAAGAGCGCGAGCAGCAGCGCGTACGTGAGCGCGCGGTCCAGCGCCGCGCCCAGCACCGCCCACGCACCCACCTGCGCCTGCGCACGAGATTCCTGCTCGAAATAGCGTCACACACCGTGGGAATCGCTCAATACGAGTCCGACCGTAAATTGTGCTCGACACATCGACATAACCCTCCGGTCTCGTCCAGGGCTAGTCTGAGAACTCACCTCGCTCGGTGCCGACTTGCACCACCTGGAGAGTGTGGAGGCGAGCGCCTTGAGCGGCGCGGGCGGTTGGTCGGCGCGCGCGGTGAGTCGCGCCACCAGCGCCGCCGCCGCCGCCGCCGCCGCCGCGCACGCGCACACCGCGCACATCACGCTCAGCGACCGCGGCATCGACGGGCCGCCCGGAACGCGCATCGACGCCGACACTAACCTGTGATAACGTTAATTATTCTCGATTCCCTCCGATTTAAATTTATCAAACATCATCCGACCGTCCCGTGCGAAGGTCTATTTTCCTGAAAACGGAATTGTGCACGTTAACACCTTTTCACTCTGGACGAAGGGTCGTTCCTCTATCTGGTGTTAGAGAAATAATTCCAATGAATACGGCAAAATATTACCGAATGAGGTACACAGCACTGTGCCACTACCTAATAACATTGAAAACGTTTTCGTTCTGGAAATTTCGACCTGCAGAACAAGCCTCGTAGACGGCCCGAGACCCAAGTTAATATAGAAGAATTGAAGGCTATTGTGGAAGCAAATCCATCGCAAACCATGTCCGAGTCAGCTGCAGGCTGCGGTGTTAGTGATAAAACTGTTTTAATCCACTTGAAGCAAATTGGAAAGATTGAGTGAAGCCAACCGACAAACGCTCATCGACTGCTGCGTTACATTACTTAACCGGCACAATAATGAAGGGTTTTTAAATCGAATCATTACCTGCGTTGAAAAGTGGATACTCTACGATAATCGGAAGCGCTCATCGCAACGACTGGACCTTGGCATGCCAGCCAAATCCTAAGTTATCTACTTGTAAGCGTTCAGTGGACTAGTGCCGGTACAGTTTTCTCAAATCTGGCCAGATTACGGCAGACGTCTATTGTCAGCAGTTGCAAACCATGCTGGAAAAACTAGTTACACAATAAAGGCTGGTCAATCGCTCTACGCCACTGCTACTTCACGACAACGCTAGCCCACACACTGCACAACAGACGGCTACCAAATCAGAAGAGCTTCAATTGGAATTTCTAAGACATCCACCGTACTCCCCAACCTTGCTCCAACAGATTTTTTTTTATTTGGCTATCTTCTTGCAAAGGAAAAATTCAACTCCGATGGGGCAGTGCAAATCACTTTCAAAGATTTTATTAATTCCCGTTCGAATGTTTTTTTTTTAGTAAGGGGATCAATGAACTACCTATGAGATGGCAAAAGTGCACAGTTAATAATGGTTTATACTTTGATTAAATAAATATATGATATTAAAAAATATTCGAGATTTTGTTCCTTCCATATCAAACACCAAATTCATATGTAAGGACCTAATATAAATAATATAATAAATATTCAACGACCGGTTTGGAATCGTGAACACACCATAAGGTCGCAGTGAAAGAGGCGCAGGCGCACAGAGGCACCCTGGCGGTGGCGGGCAGCGCGGCGGCCGCCAGCAGCAGCAGCACGGCGCTGGCGAGCACGGCACTGGCGGCCGCCTCGTGCGCCGCCGCCCGCCGTCGGAGCTGCACCATCCACGCCGCAACGCTGCGCTCGCCCAACGGCAACAGCCCGCCCTTCAGAGTCACCAACTCCCACTCACCGGCCTCGAACACCACCGCCAACTGAAAACAGTTAAAATACTGTATGTTATCATGAGATTATCGCATTCAGTATTCTGTTGGGCCATCAACATTTAACAAAAAAAAATTTTTTTTTAAACATTATATATTTTTAACAGGCTTTAATATTGAAAAGATCTAGGTTATAATGTTCTATGGCGATGTATGTTTTTTCGCGAATTGTTGACATATTTTGGAAAAATAAAATCGACAGAGTATGGGCCTGCTTTTAATTAATGAATTAGTGTTACTTAAGTATATTTAAAAAAAATAAAATAACACTAAATATCATGATAATATATTGTTCCCTCACCGTTACATCGCTGATTTCCAACTCCAATTCGTCTACGAGATGGGTTCTAGAACCGAACTTGAATACTGCCGTCTGTACGTCGACGGGCCAGTCCTGCAGCGCGAGCTCGATGGGCACGGCGGCGTCGAGTCGCTGCACCCACACGAGGCGGCCGTCGTCAGCCACGCGCACGTTAAGCGCCGCCTGAGCGCCGCCCGCGCCTGCGCCGTTCAGTAACTCCACTGACGGCAGCCACAGGCGATCCGGTGACGCTAGCACTGTAGTGCAGTCCCACTCACTCGCATTCCAGGAGATACGCGGATCTTGCCATGACTGGAATATTAAAGTTACTCTCTGTTGTATCTATATAAGCAGTGGCGTAACTATAATGGCGTAACTAATTGCGTAATAATAAATGTAAGCAGTAAGAAGTCCCCTGGGGGCCCGTGGCATTTTGCCGATTTGCCACCTAGTAGTTACGCCACTGTATATAAGTGTATAATAAGAAGTAAGATATTTTCTAAAGTGTCAACATACCAACGTGAGGTCTGCTAGCATGTGGACGGTGTCATCGGGACGTACAGCCGCATGACGCAAGTCAAAGACAACGCGCACGCGCACAGGCTGCGCGGGCGCACTCTCGCGGTCGTACTCCGCTAAGATTCTGTCCAACTGTTCCGACAGCGCCGACGCATTGTTGCAACCGTCCGCTCCCTCTATAACATCATGTAAGGCCTTGCTTAATATTAAAAAAGTAAGTTATCATCTATAACAGTTTTAATGTTCACAGTACAAAAGCATCGGCATTACTATCACTCCACGTAGTCTTACAATAATAACTTGAGAGAGTATTCCTATATTCAATTAATATTACTCTCATCTCGGTCTGAACGCCCCCTTTGACAGACCCACACATACTGTAATAAATCTTGGGAAAACCCGCACCAATCATGTTGTAAACACAAATATGTTATTTTATTGATAGAAGCAGCACAGTATTTTATTAAATTAGAAAATAAAACAAATGTGCACGAGAAGCATATAAAATACATAAAAGTGAGCGAGAGCATCGTAAGAAAATTAAACGTTCCATGTTAGATATCGTCGTTTCACAATTATAACAAGGTAAGGTCTCCGTAAGGTAACGACCGATTCCATTAAATACTGTGTAATCTATTATTTTACCATGGAGAAGCAGCAACAGGAGTCCTACAGCGGCACCCGAACGGAACATCGTTCACGACTGGTACAACGACACTGCGCACCCGAACGCTCCACCTCGGCAATATTCTTCAAACGCTCGCTTGCGTCAGTATAAACCACAATATTTCTCTAATAAGTTTGGTTAAAGAAAGCTTAACTAATAAGTTAAACAATAACAGTCATATAGCAAATAACTTTTTTAACTAACAATGTGACAATCACTTTCGATACTAGTAATTGCGTATAAAGTGGAGTTATGATCGACTGGAGCGGGCGATGTAGGTATAAGTTATCCTGGCAGGGTGCGTGGGCGCACTATCTGCGCGGATTTCCGGCGCGCAAGGACAATCCTACACTTACATTGTTTCTGTGTTCATAGTTAGCAGTATTTAAAAATAACTGCGTTCAAGAAAACAGAACGTAACGATTAGTTCATGAGTGCGAGAAGTGCCTCGCGTGAGGCCCTTCTTTAGAATCTCCAGTTGATGTGGTTTGTATGAAAAATTACATTATAGAATAAACAATTCTATAATGTAGAGTAGCTCGGTGGCGTAGTGGATAAGCGCCGCGGCCCGCGATCGTTGTCGTTAATCAACTTTCGCAAGGGTCGGTCACGGGATGGGTGACCAAAAAATCAAAGATTACATATTATCTCGAGCTACTCCGTGCTTCGGAAGGCACGTGAAGCCGTTGGTCCCGGCTGCATTTGCAGCCGTCAATACGTGGCCAGCGTGGAGGGTCATGGCCCATCCTCCTTAACCATCCATAAGGAAGGCCTGAGCACCTGCAGTGGGGACTAAAAATGGGAATAAACAAACCCTCAGTTGTAATACTGTAAATAAGATTTATATGTTATGGAGAGCAGTGGCGTAGCGTGCTTTGGAGGGATCCTGAATAAAAATTTGTTGAGGGCACCAATTGAAGGGTAAAACAATTTGCTTACACACGTAATGGGACCGTGCAGCCCGCCAGCCCCGTATCATTGATACTTCCAATATTAATATTTGACACGATACGACTGACACGGCGGCAACTACGCCCCTGGTGAAAGATAGTACAAGTTCGGTCCAGTTATTTTTGATAACAACCAGTCGTTAAATCTAGTAATAAAGGTAATGTAATTCTGACACACGAAAAGTTAAATAAACTAGAGATCCATGGCTAGTGTCACACTTTACGGTTATAATACAAACACATATGTACATCCAATAAGAATCAAAGTCAGTGTCGTTACGTCGATGTGAGTGTCAGTGATGTCGGTGTCGGAGACAACCACGGTAGTGTCATGACATCGACGTCAGTGTCGTGACACCGTCGTGAAAGTCATGGCAGCGACAGAAATGTCGTGATATTGACGTGAATGTCGTAAAACGATGGAAATATTAGTGCTGTGACGTCAGGGTCATGACGTCATGACACTGTTGCGAGTGTCGACTTTAGTGACGGAGATTTTAATATAAGTGTTTGTGACGTGTATCGACACGATATCGATCTGATATCGATCAGTGACATCAGAGTCGTGACGTAAATGTCAGCGATGTCGATATAGGTGTCGTGACGTTTACTGGGTCAAATGAAAATGTCAGTTATGTCGACGTCATCCAGTGTCCGAGACATCCATGTCAGTGCCGTGACATGGATGCGAGAGTAATGCATGACATCGTTATGACTGTATTGGCATCGATGCGAGTGTCGTGACCATATATGTCACCACATCGATATCACGACACTGACGTAGACACTAGTGACACTCACAACGACGTCACGGTACTTCCATCAACGTCACAACACTCGCATTTATAGTGGTAACAATGTTAACCAGACAACCAGAAGATAAAAGAAGAAGCGCGTGAAGTAAGCAAAAGAAAATAGAAAATTAACTTTCGTAGAGCCATGCTTCGGAAGCAGTTCATCCAGATTCACTGTAATTACAGAAGATTTACTGTATTTTAGACTTTTCTATTAAAATACAGTGTATTCATATGCTGTATTCAATTTCCAATAACTAAAGAAATATAAAACTTTTATTTAGTGTCCAAGTTTAGTGAATTAATAATATAAAAACAAGGCATATAAATTGACCGATTACAAACACTATCAAAGAAAATATGTCAGTTTGTTTTAAGCCCATCTATCGAAATAAAAAAATGCATCCAATTTAATCCCAAATTATTTCAAGGTTAACAGCAAATTAAAAATTTTAATCGTGAGCAAATCATTCTTGAGTGATTTACAATAGCTTGTATTTGAGGGGTATAGGTTCAAAAGTGCCTCTGTCCACTTTTTTCAATTTCGAGATAAAGACCAAAACTGAATACTGTCTACTAAAGATAAAAATATTACAATAAAAATTTGCCATCTAAGAACTGTGTTTGTTTTAAAGTAAATATTACTGCAGCATAAAGCGATACATAGAACGTACTATTAGTTATTGAGATTTGAAAATATGATAGAGGCGGTTTTGGAATTCATCAATGGATATAGGCGCTTTTGTATTTAATTGTCCAGGATAGAGGAGGTATTGCTGTTAATTAATTACCTTGATCAGCACTATGCAAAAATGAGTAAGTAGGTAGGTAGGTACTTAGTAAACATAAATACATTAAAAGAACAGCAAAAACACAAAAGGTTCACTTTATTATTAGTATAGTAATCAATCAGATTAGTTTTAGTATTAATTGTAATTAATACTATTTCGATTTCTTTTTTCACATGATGAAAGTTATATATTTAGATAGAGGACACTTATACAAACAAAAAATGATATGAACATAATATCGTAAAGCGTCATGTTCCTGAGATATTCAAAGATTAAAATAACAATTTTCACTTTTCGACTTGACTATATTTTGGTCAATAACTCTAAAATCTGACGCTAGGATATATGTTATAAATATTTTTTTTGTTTGTATATCTGTCCTCTATCGTAATATATAACTTTCGCTGTGTGCCATGATTATGAAAAAAAATCAAAATGGCGAAAGATCGTTAGGGATACCCTCCATACAAAAAACTTAATCCGCTTTAAATACTAAGACCTACTTCTTCTAGATGCTCACATGGTTCATCGCTTTGCTCAACATTAACACCACCATCGGAATTTGTTTCTAGTATATTTTTATAAAATGAAAGCTGTTCATTGGACTGCCAGTTGCCACCAAAGTGTTTTGTTAACAACTTTTCAACGTCAGTTATCTTCAATGTACTCATATTCACCTGAAAAGGTGGTATATCTCGAACATCATAATCAGATATACTGGACACATCACGTTTTATTATGCTTTTTGCCACCCCAAGATCTGTTTTATAATTTACTTCACCACGCAACAAGAAACGACCTGGCTTATTTTTAACTCGTGATAAATAGTATCGTTTGCATTCTGCAAACCGAAAGTGATACTGACCTGGTGGTTTCATTGTGTCACTAGCAAAACTTTTCCAATCTTTTACTGGAACGTCTCTACTGAGATGATTAATTATCCCATATTTAGAATAAATTTCATGATACTCTGTTGGGTGAATGATTTGCTCCTTAAGTTGGGTGAATTTCTTTTTCTATTAGCCCAAAAATTCGGTCTGCAGGCATAAAAGAATGGCCGGGAACAGGAAAAATCAACTCAACTATTTTGATTTCTTTTGGGGCAGAGGTGGTCAGCCAAAATGCACACATTGCTATCATTGTACTATTTTTGTTTTGGGATCCACATCCATCTGCCATAATCCGAATTTTATTTTTCCCTTCCAAATTAGTATTTGATAATAAGTGAAAAACTGCCGATGCTATCTCATTAGATGATTTTCCATAAACATTTTCGGTCCATGTATATATTCTTACATTTTCTTTTGGAAACTTATTTGTTGATGTTCCAATAACAACGGTAAAATTATAGATGTATAACTGCCTGCTATAATAGGCAGCTTGGTCTGCCACTTTTGGCAGAACTTGATTTTTTTGGCAGTCAAAAGAGATAGTGAATGTATTTTTATCATGTTCGCGTAAATATGTATAAAACATTTTAGCTTTTAATTTATGTATACGTAACGTAGTCATGAGCTGAACTTTTGCAGCATCATACTTTTCAGCTTTCAGTTTTTCCGTTAGCTCTAAACATTTGGAGCACACGTCTGTGCCTGGAGTCTTAAAACCAATATTGTAATGTTTTACAAATATATTTCTAAAATAACATTCTTTTACCTTAAGAGATTCATCTTGTTGATTTGTTTGATACATTTTCCACATCTTTTTAATATTCAAATCAGATGGAACATATTTCCTTGTTGCAGTTGCAGATCTACAATAGTGTGATTCGATGCATTTAAATGATTGTATAAATTTCATTACATTTTCTTTTTTATGTGCATTTTTGGTCGAAATCCTGTCGCCACATCGATTTTCGCGAGGAAAGTCCCTATTTAGCAAAAATTTTTTTGAAATATTTCGAAGTCTATGCACGCCGACACCTAAAATACGTGCAAGTCTTTTGGCAAACCTGTATGAGTTTGTAAGGTTTCACGTAAGTTCTAATATAAAACTTTGTGTATGATTTTGAGGCAGCGCGTTGTCCCACTTTACGTCGTCGCCGCACTGGTGTATGAACTTTAATGTATTTTAATATAAAATTATCTTGGTAAATTTTACAAGGCTTTGAATAAAAGGTTTGGTGAAATTTTCTGTCTTGTGGATTCAAAGAACTACACTTTAATTGGCCGCTGTTATGCTTGCACGCTCTAATATCATTTATATTGGGCGGTTTTTTTGATGAATATCTGAAATTAAATTTTAGTAATTTAAATACGAAAGTGCACCTTTTCATGTAAAATGTGATAATAGGTACGCACAGCAGCAAGTAAGGTGTAACAGTTGCAATACAAAAATACCTCTAATTACGTAGGGCATAGAGGCGCGCTCAAGGTCAACATGTTACGTCTGACCTGCTGCTGTATGTACTTCTGCTACGTCTACCGACGAAAGTAATAAAATAGCGTGGTAATTTTCTGCATAATGACACTCACACTAGGCAAAATACAAGGCATTAGATACATACCTTTCACGCCGTTTTACATTGCGTTTCCATTGTGATTTATTGCGGATCTTTTTCCTTGCTGTATTACCTTCTACAGGAACAATATTTATTTCCATTTTTCACTTTTTTTTTCAATTAATATTTGATAAAACAACGGCACACTGTTTACAAAACAATACTCAAGACGCCATTACATTCCTAATAAAATGACGAGCTGTGATTGGTTGACTTCAGACAGAGGAGCTTTTGCACCTGAGGTATTGAATAGAGGAGGTTTTGCACCTAAACGATAATTTCAAATTTCATTTTGTATGTGATAGAGGCGACTTTGAATACGTTTGCTTAAATACAACACAAAAATGATAAGTCAGGAATGTTACCAGATATCAATATCATAAAGCATAAAATTTGGACAGAGGCGCTTTTGAATCTAGACCCCTCACTTATAAATAACTAATGAACTAGCATATTTTTTTATTTTACTGTAAGCAACTTTGATATCTACTTTATAGAATCTACTGAATTTTTTTGCTGACATCACCGTAATTTTACTTTTGGGATCTAGAAGCATTGTTCGGGAAGCGAATTATTGGGTTCGCGTAGTGACTCATAGCCCATTCACCCTATTCTTTTCGCTTCTATCCTCGAAACTCTCCAAATATACTTTTCCCCCCAAACGAAGTCACGTGCACAGCTACATAATTACAAAATAAAACACTTGAAGTACGTAAAGCAGGTCGGTATTCTTTTATTCAGTTATTATTAATATTACTCATACATTAAAATATTTATAAAATAAAGTAAATCATATAACAAAATATAAAAATAACACAATGATTACATCGAAAACAACTTAAGTAATACCATCATTATGTATCAAGCAACAAGTCATAACGTCTAGTTAAACTAAACAGTTTAATATTACATAGCACACCGGACACTCGAATACAGCATACAATTAACTAATAGGAGTTTAGCCAAATGCCCAATGAGATATAAAAGGGACAAACTTAGAGTTATTGTTACTTTAAACGGAAATCAGACACAATGCGCTGAAAACTCATATACAGAATTCTATTTGAGCTTAATAGTTATAAGTTATCTTAAGTGTTAATTTTCAACAAAGTTCTGTTACTAGGTTCAACAAAAACTATATCGCTTCAAGGGTTTAAGACTTTTGTGTAGAACTTTTTTTGCACGCAATCGTTTTTGGAGATAAGAGAGCGTGAACATTCGCTAATCCATGCATATTCAAAGTTCTATAATGAATCTCCGTGAGCAAAATTTTAGTTGAAAATTTATAATTTACAAGTGTAAAGTTACACTTTTAACATCAAGACGTTTAAAATGATTATTCCGATAAGTTCACTATTGTAGTAGTTATTTGCTTTCTCAAACTTTATGAAATGTTTCGATTTCTTGTTCTTTTTAATAGCTTATCTGCCAATTTCAAGTAAATAAATAAATTTCGTGAATTGAAGTGAATGAAAGATATCTCTTAATTGATAGTCTGATCCGTCAGTCTGATAATAGGAAATATAATTAGATACGTATTTTCAATGTAATAAAAAATAGCCGTAGTTTATCGATGACGCACAAAAAACGACATAACTCATATTATAATATCATTAGAGCGACAAAAACAACAAGATAATCTCAACACAACTGACTACGCAGATCTGACATTTTATGAAAGTTTTGATGAAATTTAGAACAATGAAATTAGATAATCTTTTATGCTAATTGAATTGACTGGGTGATTTTTCACGCTGTTTATATACAAGTTAAAGAAATGAGATTAAGATAGTGCCTTAATCGACTATTTTATCATAAGTAAACAAATATGTCACTGAAAATAAGAAGATTAATTCTAAAATATTATCAGAAATATAAGTCTAAGTGGGGAAGTAAATAAACTCATCACCGAGCAGAACCTACTTATATTTAATTGCAGGAGCTACACCTAGACATGACATAAGAGGCTTAATAACCTAAAACTACATAAACTACAGAATATTTAAACTAAACACAAACATACAGATTTTTTCGTCAACAAGAGAAAAATATGGCTGTCATATTATTACTGTTAAATCATTTACAGATTTTATAAATCTACAATCTATGTAACTGAAAGTTACAAATGATGTAATCTTAAGAAAAAGCATATAAAAAATATACATCAACGTAGGGGAAATACTTATAATTTAAATTATACATTGAGAGCGAATGACGAGATGTTGATGATGTTCATGTGCGCCATACAATCATTAAACTTAACGTTACATTGGTAACTTGATCACCGTCTATTCAGCTTATAAGTATTACTTTACCAATATTGAATTTATTAAATAACATGGCAATAAAAAGTAATATAATAAATAGATGTTAACTCATCTAATTATTTATTTAGTGGAACATTCGATGAATACGTATTGAACATTATGTACATTGCATTGATTGTACTCAGTAAATTATTATAATTATGCTTTAGACTCATTGATTACTTATTTCTAATAAGTATACCATGATGGGTGTTTGATGTGAAACAAAATGAGGAATGTTAATAAAAATTATTGAAATAGACTATGGATACGGACAAGGACAACAAAAGAAGAAATTTAGTTTAGTGCTGCAGCAAGAAAGCTAACATTTTGTGGTGTAGGAATGATATGAATACGTTACAAGGTTTACGTGCTTTCAGAGACTATTTACATATTGCAGCTTTATCTTCCAATAATCAATTAAAATTATACAAACAATAACTAAATCTACTTATGTAATTACCTAAAAGAGTAGGAACAAAAGCGTTCTACAATACCTTATACAAGTATAAGTAGCGTGTAACTAATTAAATAAGTAAATTAAAAATATATATCAACAATATAGAGAAATAAATTGTGATGATGTCGAAACAATTATGGTTTGAAATTATTTAAAATAATCCCTACTACTTTAACGAAAAAATGCACATTTCACTCCCGATTTACCCGTAACCATTCAATAGGTCTTTACATATATATATGTCCACCGTCAGCCGCCGGTAGTGAGCGAGCGTTACAAAGTTAATACATTTTATTATTCCATACCAAATTGGTTTGAACGCAGCCTCGCGATTTGCGCGTTCAGTGTGAATGTGGAGGTGGCTGCTGAGAGTTGGGTTCCCCGGGGTTATGCGTAGGCGGGGGCGGAGGCGGGGGCGCTGGTGCGGGGGGAGCCAGATAGTGCCAGTAGGGGGGCGCGTCCGCCGCCTGCGCCTGGCACGCCGCAGCCAGACCTCGCCAACTGAACCGGTACGCGTAGCGCTTGCCGTGTACCTGCACACAATAATATACATAGTATTGGTTAAATTTGAAGATCCTGTAGAACGGTTAGCACCTAAGCGATCTTGTAGTCACATTAGGGAGCAGTCAATATCCGTTCCAGTAATCTATACACATATAAAAGCAGATGTCTTGACATACTGACAGACAACGCAGAGCCTAAACCGCTGGTCGTAGAGATTGAAAGTTTGGAGGGTACATTGCTTTTATTACGTAGAGGTTCTCAATACAGATTTTCCGATATTTCACTCCGAAGGGGCACAAAAAGGGTGAAAACGTTTGTATGAAACATTTTTGTTCATAGATCTCCCAATCACGAATCAAAAAGATCCCATAGCAACCATTATTTACTATTTTATTTGCCATTGTGTTAAATCTAATATTATTTAAAAAAATTTACTTATACAGTCATTAAAATTGATATTTGAGTACATACTTTATAACAAAAAAATACATTTTAAATATAAATCCTTAACCTTTGACAATATTAATCATTTTCTATACTTTAAGATACACTAGATGGCGTTAAATATATTCTGCATCGCACCGTTTTGGACAAGGTTGAGTTTTAAAATAAAATAAAGTAAGAAATATCTCGATCCAAGCAAAATGATGACTAATTAATTAAAAGTCTTCAATAAAAAGACTATTATTTCAAATAAAACATTTGTTTGTATATTTTTCGCAACGCGTGTCGATTTTACCGCGCACTAAAATGGAATGAAGATCAACTGGACCATTCTATGAATACATGCGCGTTATACACAGAAACACTGGTAGATTTTTCTTATTTGGTTCCATCTAGTGGGCAGGTCTTGTCCTAGTAGTGACGCCCCCGATGATGATGGTATAAAGGTGGACGATTACTGCCAGCGTACACACAGTACTCTCGGACAAAGTCGCTGGTTACAGCTAGTATTGTGATGAAAGAATAGAAATAGCGATTCAAAGTTTGTATTAAAGTTCGCCATTATCTAAGGGTTAGGAATTTTACACAGTATAATGAATAAATATTTGTTTTAACGATTTTGGAAAGGCTGCTACACCAAGCGGAATAAGTCGCGGGCAAAAGGTAGTCGTAGTATAAATCACTTTCGTAAGGATTTAATTTTATATTAAAAGTTCTCATTAAATATCCGAAACTCAAAATAGTGATAAAAAGACACCTTAGTCATGATATTCTTGTCGTAATAATAGCGCAGGGCGCGCGACAGTTTGTCGTAGTTCATGTTGGGCTTCTGCTTGCGCCTGCCCCAGCGGCGCGCCACCTCGTCCGGGTCGGACAGACGGAACTCGCCCTCGGCCGGGGCTCCCTGCAACATGTACATGCATCGTGGTCACGCCTGAAGGTTCACTGAAAGTCCGATTGCCAAAAAAATCAACTAGATCGTAAGTTTAACGTATTTTCTAACATTGAGCATTCAAAAGCAGTGGGCTGTCTCAAGCCTTATATCCCTAATGTCAGTTACAGAAAATTCATAAAACTTCAACGGTTATTATAAATATTTCAATGTTCGTATTTACAGTGGCAGGGGACATAGACTAATGTAAACCGAAGAGTTTTTCTCCCTGTTTTATACAGAAAAATAAAGTCCTCAGTAACGCTATGTAATTAAATCAGTAAAAATTAATTCCTAATTCTTTAATTCTTGTTCTAATGATGTCGCACCTCCTCTCATTTTATTTAAATTACTTTTGTTTACCTAAGGCAGGTAAATAACGTTTTCAACTGTTTTAATTAGCTGTGAGAGATAGGATTGTCATGGGCGCATTATCATTGACACACATATTTTGACTTGACACTACTGACCTCCCAGCAGATTCCAGGTGCGCCAGCTGCTAGCTCCTCCAGCAGGAACTGCCACAGTTGCACCTGCCCGCCCCCTCCCCCTCCGCTGGAGCCCGCACCCGCAGCAGCGCGTGCGCACCCGCTCAACGCAGCATAAGGATCTATCAAAGCATAGTAATATATTTTAACTGATTCAAAAAACAATTCAGCTTATTTATTGTAGCATAATAACATACAGGTTGGATTTTTGTGACTGAACAAAGGGAGCAAAAACTTCAACCGTTATTTTTAGTTAAGATTAAAAAAAACTTTGCAAACACAGATAAACTTTTAATTGTACTAGAGTAACGGCACATTGAGCTTATGTAATAATGTATATTCGTAGGATAATGTATATTCTGGTTATGATCCGATTAAAAAAACTAGTATTCAACAGTCTTACATCTGACCATTACGGGCTGAAGATCACTTAATTAGCCTTAAATTATTAAGTGTAGACCAATTACTAAAATACACCTAGATAATTTTAAAAATAACATAGATGAGAAATTAATTGAGATGGTATGGCCAAATTATGGTCCTGATGCTCTTTGTAGCAATCTGTTGTCTTACAAAAATGGATTTGTTAAAGCTTTTCCGTCTAATACCGTAAAAGTTACACAGAAGTTACAGTTCTGTGATTGGGCTACAACAGGTATTTATAAAATTAGAAACAAACTTTATGAATTATACGATTTAAGAAAATATAACCACAATCAATATTTCATTGATTACGTGTAGAATTATTCGAAGTCAAATTTTATTAAAGAGAAAATAAAGAAGTCCTATAATAAAATACCTGAAGATATTCTGACACTTAATTTTAATAATACGACCATTAAATCTTATGATAAGATTGCTAATATATTTGATAAATATTTTATAAATATACCAATTGAAACAACATCTGGTGTTTAATTTAAATGTATTCATTTCTTAGATATTATTAAAACTTTCAAATGTCTGAAAATAAAAAACACATGCGATTTATGGGGTATTATTAAAAGTATAGATCATGTTATAGCCCCTTACTTGGCCGATATATTTAACCGTTGTATACGTGAAGGAATTTTTCCAAATCTTATGAAGCTAAGCAAAGTTATACCTCTTTTTAAATCCGGTAATAGGGAAGACGAAAGTAATGATAGACATATGTAAATATTACTGACGTTAAGTAAAATCTTTGAAAAAATAATTCTTGAACAGTTATTATCTTACTTTAATTTAAATAAATTACTGCATACTAAAAAATATGGTTTCACAAAACGTCTGATGCTGGTGTAGCACTTCTTAAACATACATATATTCAAGGCTTGGGAGGGGTCACAGAATGCACTTGGAGTATTTTGTGACTTATCTAAGGCATTTGATTGCGTTGAGCATCGAACACTGGTAACGAAGCTAAATTAATATGGTATCAAAGACTCTGGTCCTATAACTAATATTCTTGTACCTCAGTTCCAGGAATCTATTCTATGTCCCTTTCTGTTTCTAACATACATAAATGATTTGCTATTCTTTGTCGAAACTTTACGCTGTATAGTATTGTTTGCAGATGACACTTCTTTAATATTTAATATTGATAGATGTAAAATAACTTTGACGATGTAAACAATGCTCTTTCACAGATTATGACCTGGTTTACTGTAAATAATCTTCAGTCTCATGCTAAAAAACGAAATGAATAGAGTAAATGTTACCTAATGTAAAAGCTGAACTAATAGAAATTAAACTTCATGATGAAAAGCTCGAGTTGGTTGATTCAACAATCTTCTTGGGTGTTACGCTGGATTCTAAATTGCAATGGCATCGTCACATTTCATTATTGGCAGGAAAACTAAGTTGAGCTGCCTTTGCAATACTAAAATTAGGCAACTCACAGATGTAGATACTGCTAGGACAGTATACTTTAATCATTTTCATAACGTTATGTCATATGATATTCTGATGTGGGGTATGGCTGCTGATATAGTTTGTATTTATTTTACAAAAAAGGGGCAGTATAGGCCCAAGAACATCCTATATGACCAGCTCCTTCAATTTGTGTAAAATATTCTTGGTGAAGACCCAGGTTTCAGTTTTTCATGTTTTCATTAGATCTTTTTAAGATCTAAGAAATCTGAAAATGTAGTTCAGAATGACTGTCTTACCGACAGATTTTATCGAAATCGGTTCAATATTTTAGTTTTTTTTTTATATCGCTAAAGTAAACAAAATCATTTATGTCTTTTGATTTAGGTGTCATCAACATTTTTATCAGGTAATGACTAAAATTTAATAAAGCTGTGCAACAATCTTTACAAGAATGAAAAGCAACACTTCTTTTATGGCGGTTCTATCGGTGGTAAGAGTATTGTTTTTTTTGGAACCTTTAAGGTTTTCATGATTTACATTTCACATTCACAAACATAACATTTAAACCAAAATTAAGCCATTTATCACATAAGTATATTATTCGAAGTAAGCGTGCAATCTTGGAAATTGTTCGTTGAAACCAAAACTATGCGTCCGTAGCAGATCCTCTACGTGACGCCTCCGTAGACATTCGTAGCGACTACGAGTAATAACATATTTTTTTATTATTATTGTAGGGCATTTTAATAAATCAGATTTATTGTGATAATTTTCTAATTATTCAGTAATGTTTAACTAGTGTTATTACAGTTTTTTAAATATTAAGTTTATTTCTGCTGGAACAACTATAGAAAATAGCTTTATAGATTTTAAAGCAAATATTATGTAGCATTTGTATACACTGTATAAACAGGTAGTACTGACACCAGATTATTGAATTGAATATTTAAAGTTAAGCGCGTCTCAATCTGTACTTAAACATCAATTAAATAGGTTTTCTTTTCTGATTTTAGCAGTTTGATAAAAACTAGAACTTTTTGCCGCGTGAAAAATAAAACAATTAAGTTATTGAGAATTGATCAACCGGATATATGACTTCTAGGATTGATTGATTTGAGGAAAAGAGTATAAAAGAATTTTTATACCCTCATTATTATTAATATTTTTTTAATGAAGATGAAGAGACTTTCAATAGGGACCGGCAACCTGCAGGAAGCAGATTTCATAATTCTAAAAGACTTCCAAATAATCCTATACTACTAAAGCTCTATCTATAATTCAATAACGGGAGTGCTATTCCGTTAAAATACAACGTCGAGCACAGCGCTATCAAAGTATTAGTTTAATTACAATCAAATAAAACCAAATATAAAAAGATAATTAAATTATTATTTCAATGAACCTCTCTTTCTCTCTTTCTTTGATTAACTAATTCAATCAAAGGTGACAGTGCTGTATTATGTACTGTATATAGAGTATACCAGTTATATTACCAATAAATAGTACCAATTATTTTATTTGTATATTTCACTAGATTTGCAACTAATCAGTTATAAATTATAACAATTTAAAAACTATAATTGACCTTGGTATAGATGATGTATTCGCCGGTGGTCAGCGGGACTCAGCCAAAGCATCACCAGCACATCACTAACTTATCACTATTACACTCCACATACAATGCCTCACCATCAGTATCAGGTTTCACCTGACAGTGTTTTTCATTATTTGCCAGCGAAGGAACAGCTGAGGTTTTGGTTCCTAAGATTGTTTTTTCTTTCACTTCCCGTTCTTCGTCCTCTTCTACTCTAACCTCATCTTCTGTCGCTGGCCTTCTTGCCGTGATCCATCCAGCACGCTTATCGGCGGATAGTGACATAAAACAACAATTTATTATACATATCCGCTAATCCGATAATCGCGATGTAACAATATAAAATTCTCTCTCTCGATAATAGTTTTGAATTGTTTACTTGAGTAATAAAATTCTGCGCGTGTGGTGGTCGCAGCATATGATAGTGCGCGGCGTACTGTTTGGTGTTCCGGAAGTGAGTGAGGCGCCTGGCCGCCCCCGCCCGCCCCCGCCCGCCTGTATCCGCCCTCCGTCCGTTGTTACTCCCTCACTTAACACACCATTAAATGCGACTCTATCTATATTTCATCAGGCACAATTTTATCTTAAATCTTCGTCCCTAAACATGAAAATCGTTCAAAAATCTTATTAATTTTATTGAGACGAGTTGGACCCTTTATTATTGTTTGTAAATGTGTATTTAAAAACAATTAAATTCTGTTCATTGGAAACTCATTCTCTCAATCATTCTTCAAGTAGGAAATTTGGAATAAAATAAGTTTACATTTAAGACAAGCAGAATGAGAAGATGAATAACGTTTATCAAAATAACTAACAGCCGCTATTATATTTTTTATATACTTGTATTATGACATGGAGAAAATAAGACAATAAACTAACTGTTAAAATATAATATCGCATTTTCCGGCAGCGCTTTAGATCTAATATCCGGAGGTTGGGGTGGGTCTAGTGAGACAATGACGAGCAGACGCGCACACGTGGCGATAAGCTCCTGTAAATCTACTTAAGTTGTCACTAAGTTCATGAACTTTTATTACCTTCTCGTGTACATTTATCATAATTACAATTGTGTTATAAACTCATTTATAATCAATATCTATTATATATTTCAAAGTAAAAGTCTTTATATAATATACTTATTTAAAGTACTTTTGAACCATTCCATTTTTACTTAGCCTTCGTTCAGGACGTCTTTTGACTGATAAGAATAATGAGCGGAAAAAAACTCACTACCTCTAGTAGATCGATATAAATAAACGATATGAATTAATTAAGTTTCTTTCCATGACAATAATATAAAACATAGACATAAATATATGTATACCTGTCGTACAATATTTATTATTTATAGCTAAGAATTACACGTTTACAAATCAGTGATGATGTGAATTTGGACTTTCACCACTGACCAGCAGTAATAAATCTCGGAATTGAAGTGATTCATCCCACCGATGCTTATTTCATTGAATCATTCTCTCTACTTTTACAATTCTGTGTCATTCATTGCTCAATTGTCCAAAATATTTCGCAAAGTTCGCGTCTTAGTAATTGGATACCATGACCCGATCGACCCAAGAAATATCCCCGTACAAATAATCAATTGTAATTTACTTTTAATACAATTCAATTATAGTTTTTATTTATTTGTGCAACATTTTTTGATTAAAATATCAATCTCGGGGTAACCGCATCATCAATACCTACCTCATTAATACCTACATATTTTGACAAAAAAATAAACTAAAAACGAATGTAATATATATCCTAAGAATCTATCGTATTTGCCATGGAATCATAAAAAACGATAAAATCAACTGACAGTTTTCGTTATCAGACTATAGATTAGAAATTATTAGTGTAGAGGTACGCAATAAATTTATATAGACGCTGATGTACAGTATCAGTAATAACAAAAAAATCAATACCATACAGAACAAAATTCTTGTAGTAAGCCTTACCGAGCGTTCCATGTACTGGGTGTTCTCTACTATCTTCTTTAAATCATAAATAATTTGAAATTTTAATGGTTTCATCCGCTTTTGTCCCGACGAGTTCACCGCAATGTGCTCATACCTCATAACTCTTACCACAGGATACGACAGCTTAAGGAATATCATGACGATATTTCGTTTCATTTTACTATATTGACGTGTCTTTTGGTGGATTCGGGGATAAATGTGTAAGGTGGAGACATTGCTGTCAAATATTATCGGTCTTCGTTATTAAAGTACATGTCAAAGTAGTAAAATGAAACGAGTTGGCGCTACAACAACGTTAAGATGTCCCATCCTATGCCTAGAGTTGTAGCTAGATGAGATAGGCGATCGGTCTTCTGGTTCACTCACAGCGAAATGTAATCAAATTTTGATTGGCTGGAAATATATGTTTTATTATAACAGAAGCTGTGGTATTAGAAACTGCGGGTCGCATCCCCCGAGGAGGGATGGCACAGGTTATGCCGCATGCATAATGCAGTGGCGCCCCGCTGCGGTCCGCAATGTCACACCTCGTGCTGATCCCGACTGATAGCGGGGTCGGTTCGGGTCAGGTCGGAATTGCTCACTTAGAAATGGCTTCTTAATATGTTTAGATAAAACATTTCCATCAATTCTCGGATAAGGTTAATTTAATTCTAAGTGTACTTTCATTAGTGTACAAAAAATTGAACCTCTTTTTAATTTAAATAAATAAAGAGCCATATCCATAGTTCAGTAGGTACGTTAATACAATTTAACATTAGGAACAGTGTTCCAGAAAGTACCATTAAAGTCATTATTGGCAAATATTTATACGTTAGTAAATTTTGGAGTTGAAATTCGCTTACACTTGCAGAATTTTCTTTGAGCCTCAACCTAGCCTCAGTGAGGATTACTGCTCTCTTTAGTGTACTTTTTTTTTAATATAAATTAAAACACTAAAAATAGACGTATAATTTGTGTAGGTATTTTATATTTGCGTGTGTCTTCCGGCTGCGAATATTTTTATTAGAGTTAAAGTTTTTTGGTTTCTAGTATTAACATCCTACAAAGTATTTACAATATGAATTTGGTAATTTCATGGTGAAATTAAGACCATGAAGTGAATCTAAATCAGCTCTTTTTCTCTTCGTGTTTGCATTATAACGAATATTGAACAATTTTTTTCAGTCTACGAAAAAAGGAATTACTTTTAGCTGATTCTGTTAATTCAATAATGACCTCAATCATTTAGGATAATGACGCACTGAGAATATAACACTCGTACTTTAAAAAACAATATAATTGATTGGTGGTAAGTTACGGATCGAGAGCGGCCTTATAAATTACGCCGCGCCGCCGAGGACGGCGCACACACAGAACACAGTTTTCTTAGAAACGTCGTGTGTGGCGTAAGGCATAAGAGACGTCACCTATGCGCTGGAGGTCATTGTTAGAGTTTGCTATTAAATAAATTAATCTTGTAGTAAAAATAAAATCATCAATATGCAAATAATGAATCTGGCAATTTTTTAAATATTTCTACAAAACATTTATTTGTAAGTTTTTTCGTCAATATATAAATACAAACACCTTGCCCAGCCCTGTTATCTGATGCTTTGATATAATTGATAAACTGTTTTTAATTTCTTTGATATTTTTAAATTTACCCTAAATTTTGTATTGTGCGTAATCAATTAGAGTATGCCTCGCAAGTTTGGAATCGAGGATATAATGATCATATCATTCGTATTGAAAAAATACCCTTATAGTTTCGCCATGTCTGTGCGTCCGTCCATCCGTCCGTCCGAGGTTTAGCTCAAAAATTATTGGTACTAGAAAGTTTAATTTAGCACGACGTGTATTTATGATTTAACGTGTATAACGTTAATTATGCCGATAAAGTGATAAAGAAGGATTTTGAAAAATATTATAATAATAATAGGGTACCTCTCTTACATGTAAAGTGGGGATGTCATTTTGTTTTCGTCTTCCTCATAGTGCGGAACATCGTTGGATACGTCTTTCAAAAAACATTGGGGATGTGGGAAAACCGTTTTTCAATTTAGTAAACCGTTTGTGACTTATTAAGCTTTAAAGAGCTAATTTTCGTTAAACCTAAGTGTCCCCCCTCTACCAATTAAACGGTCGTTGGTAAAAATTCAAACGTTACGGCTGTAGCACCCATATATAACGAAGTTAAAAGGAAAACTATAATACTTAAGGTGGATTGAAAAATTTTCGAATTATAGTCAACCAATTGTATTTAACTCAAAAAAATTTCAAACAACTCCATAGAAAACAACAAACGTGATTTTTTTAATGGATAATGGTACGGAATCCTTTGTGCACGAGTCCAACTGGCACTTGGTTTCTTTAATTTGACGTATGAGAAATCAAGATAATTATTTGACATAATGTTAGGCAACTGCCAATGTCGTGATAAAGAATGATGACACGTTGTTGGTCATTCGTTTCCAGCTATCGTTAGAACAAATTATTGTGTATCATTCAGCGTCAACTGTTCTTCGATTTTTAATAGTTTAAACTTTTGAAAGACCCAAGCCTGTAGATACGCCTGGTTTCCGTTTCAATTGAGTATATCTACGTTTCATCGCCTGTAACAATAATACTTGTACTTGTTTAACCCGCGAGAGCTTTTTGAGCTTAGTGTTGCCTTGAGCTTTTCTTTTGGAAACCTATGAGAACTATATAACCGGCGATTTTTCATTATTTCTAGTTGACTTCAGAAGTCAATTCATATTAGTGGATGTATACTGATAACCTACTCGTTCCCTCTTTCCAACAGATGATACCGCGAGACCGCCTACGCTTTCAATTAAAACCACACGGGTAGTTGCGGAGGAGCGCCGTGGGAGGGACCGCGTGGGTGGGGCCAGCGGGGCTCCGCCCTCCTAATCGTCGTCAACTCCACAGATAGCACAGATCTGCAGACCCTAAGATACACCGGCACTTTAATACAGAGCCATTCATACTGTAAGTTAATGGGAAAATTGTCACGAAAGCCGCTCACAAATGCAATGTTTTTACGCAAAACTTGATTATGATATAGTGACTTTTATATACAGTAATTTAACACGAATTGTTTGTTTTAACAGAAAAATCATCAAGAAAAAACCCGAAAGTACCCGAGTGAGACCATTATTGTTCGAGTATTTGATATAAAAATCTGATTACTCTATCGACTAAAGTCGAGCTGTTATAATTCGTTGGTGGACTAGATAAAATAATATATTTTTATCTATTATAAAGAAAGCTAAATATTATATATGATAGTCTAACCGATAGTCCCTAATATATGATAGTGTG